GGGCCGCACGCTCAGAAGGCTTCGAATTCTTGAATATCCAAACACAATAATAATAAAATGGGGCGACCTGTAGGCTTTTCTTCTATCATCAATCTTGAAAGACGCCACACATACAGACCCTGAGAGCCGCCACACACACCTTCGGTTTTGACCTCCAGACCACCCCTATCAAATGCACCGCCTTCGCCCTTCTCCATAACCTTCATCATCTACATTTGACCTCTCCATAACCTTCACCATAACGCGACCACAGTCATTCATCCACCTCACCCGTGTCCTTCTTCATCATCTACCAGCATCATATTCTTCTCTCAGCAGAATCAGAACCAGAGGGGCCGCGGTTTCATTCTGCAGAACCACAACAACGACTCATTCTTCTTCAAGCTTCGGCCACCAACATAACCATCTTCAATGGCCGCGGAATCCTTGGAGCTCATTGCCGTTGGGTTCAAGATCATGAGTGACTGATACTTTTTCTGGTGCTGATTGGGTTTAATGGCTTGAGCTTGGGAGCTGCAAAGGGGAGTCTAGTTTTAATCTTTAGTTTAAACTATATGTTGATGATTTCTGGTTTGAAATTTGTTATGTGTGGTTTAAAACTTAGAATTACTAATTGCAATTCTTGGTTTGGATTGGAATTGTTAAGATTTGGATTGGTAATTTTAAGTTTGAGTACTTGGGTTCATGAATACATATTTAATTATATGTTTATGCCTTGTTGATTCATTATTAGTATGATTTTTATACTACTTTGTGTAGAGATGATGCTTGAAGTGAATTTTAACAAATAATTGATATTCTAGTTAAGTATTAATTTAAAAGGAATAACTTTTCTAAACCAATTCTTATCACTTAAGTTACTCTCACATCATTAATCAAGTGAGGATAGTCATTGGTTCATTTTCAAAGAGCATCTCATCATTAAATTTCTTAAAATCCAAATTAATATTTTCATTTATCATTTTATTAAAAAGCCCAAAAAAATAGCAATTAGGATTTATCTAATTTGCATTGTTTACAAAGTAATTTTATTAAAGAAAATCAATTTTAAAACCCTTTCAATGTTTCTGGTACTTAGTTTGGCTTAGATTTTCAAATAAAAAGGCTATGCGAGATAAACGATCCTAATTGTGCACTATATTGCATTTATATTCGGTTTTATCTTGATTTAACCCCAAGGCGACTAAAGAGGATTTAAATCACAGGACAAAATCATTCTTGTCTCTCTCACTGTCCCCAAGATTATAATTATCATTAGCATTCATTTGAATATTCTCAAACATGGCAATATAATCAAGCCAATAGCTGCGATAAGATGCTTTATCCATTCATTCTTGCAGCCACGAATCTCTGTATCAACATTAGGATTGTCTCTATTTCACTCTGCTCTTAAAAACTCATACGGATTCTCTGTTTCAGCATCCTCTAATATGCATTTAATTGTCATACTAATATAATCATGTGAATTCATTGTTTTGGCAGCCAAGTTTTTATAAAATTCATGCTCCATAGATAAAATATTCAGTGCAAATCCAGATACGGACAGCAGCTCGACCTCAGATGATACGAGATCAATAACAAGAACTTTCTTCTTTAGCATTTCCCATGCCCTCAATCTGTGAAGTTATTAATAGAAGGAATTTGATTAATTAGTTAGAAAGTTTTATAGTTAGTTAGGGATACTGGGTGAAAAAATTTTAATACTTTAAACAACACTTGCGTGTTATATCAATTATGAAGCATGTCGACGGGAAGGCTTATAATAAGCGGGGGAGGAAGTATAAAAATATCTTATTATTTTTAAGTGAATAAAAAGTATTTTTATTGACAAAAAATATTATTTTTCATGTCTATATTTTCTTTTATTTCAATTTACACTGCGTGCTCCCTGTAAGGATTGGGATGTGAACATGTCTGTTCCAAAGGTCGAGTACGTTGGCCTCCATCGATTGGCATGGAAGTGGAACCTTTGGTGAAGATAATAATATTCTAAGATGCCAAAGTTTTTAAATATTTATTAGGGATTTAATTATGTACTGGCATACATTTGCAGAGACTAAATTTCTCAACCGCAACAATTAAGAGCGACACATGAGATCTAGCTGAATAAACTATTTTTTTCAGCATAACGTTTTAGAGTATAGAAGTCATTTCTTAAAAATGCATTTAGTGTTTTAATTACTGCAGCAGAAGTAATTAATTATTGTCTCAGAAGCATATAGATAGACACTAGAAATAGATTAAAATGCGCGCTCTTGAAACGTGAAAACGGAATACAAAATGATGTTCTTCATGTACTATTATTAATACACCCGGGGGGGGGGGGGGGAATGAACAGGGATTGTAATATTGATGGCAACAATTAATGCATGCATATGCAAGGAATGTGAGAGTGAAGCACATGCCTAATGACATCCTTTGCAGTTTTTAAATTTACGCAAATGTTCATCAAATTCTTATTTAATTTTTTTTATTGTATTACATTTTTGCAAATAATACTTTAATTTTGACTTAAGCGTATAGTTCTTAATATTTGGATCATCTAAAAATCAAGCTATAATATCTCATGTTTTCAAAATATTAAGGACTCACTAGGTGGTGCTCCATCCCATTCAAAATATAAACATCAAATAACTAACTTACGCAATTCAAAATATTAGTTAAAATTGGTTAAGCATAATAAATATGTAAAAAATGTAACTTATTTTTCAAAAACATCCTTATGGGGAGGGTGAGTGGGAGAGAGAATGAATGAAAAAATAGATGAAAAAGAATGTGTGGAAAAAACCATATATGGGAGACATAAAACTAATTAGGAGTAAAAATGAAAAGAGAATGCATTAAATGATCCAACAAATCTAAAATAATGCTTATAAAAAAAATCCAACACTCTTAAAGATTTGATACTTATATTTTAAAGCAGAGGTACTTAGATAATTAAGAAAACTCCTTATGTATATATAGGAAGTACACAACAGAAGTGGGATGGTTAATCAGGGAAATTTTTCATTGGGGATTCTGTTATTAATTTATCTTTTTTTTTTTTGGGGTGACAAGTTCTTAATTAATGTAGATTGCTTGCTAATATAACCATTCTCGCACAAACTGGGCATGGACTTGGTTACTGAGAAGAGCTTATGCCGCGATATAAAAATTATTAGGGAACGATAAAGTAAAGAAATGAATTGGGAACGCAATAATTAGATAACTTTTTATCTTTAATATAACATATTATTCTTGGGAGTGACATATAAAACCTATCTGAATCAACTTATTTTTTAGCGTAACTTTTTAGGACATAGCAGTCACTAAAATAGAACATTTGAAACTCAAATGTTATTTCTGAAAATTGCCTTTATTTTTTTTTAACAACAGTGCAGCAGCGGTAATTCTAAAACATATATCTAAATGATCACTCACAATAAGTCTCAAGCCAGCGTTAAATATAGATTAATATACCTAGAAATAGATAAAAATGTGCGCTCTTGAACTATGAAAACTGAACACAGAATGATGGTCTTCATGTACTATCCCATGCAAAAACACTGTAGGATTAATATACATAGATTTAGCCCTAATATATTCATAATTCAAAAAAGCGAAAAAAAATAGAAAGCACCAAACAAGCAATACTCGTTAAAAGCACAGATAGAAATCTCAAATATCCATTTTCTCTCCTCCATCCTCGTAACTTCAACCCTATCCAAATGCAAAAGCGCATTGAGAGTAGCCCTAGTATTAGCGCAAGCAATACTCTCCAGACCGTATACAATGCTGCATACATCACATTGGAAATTAATTTCTCCTGCAAAAGATCAAGCGGGAGTATAATATTGATGGCAGTAAAATATGCTGCAAGGGATGGGAGAGTCAGACACATGCCCATTGATGGCATCCATATCACAGCTCTATTCTTCATAGGAAATATTCCACTTGCAAGCAAGAGGGTGACACCAAGTGATGGGAAAAAAAAAAGAAAGAAAGAGATCGTAACGTAAAATGAATAGCGCTCAAAGTCACTATGGAGATGAGAGGATGAAGCCAAAGCCTGTCCAGGACAATACGTGTAATTATCAGGAGGTATGGTGATGCAGTTGAGCGGGTGATCATCAGATGAAGGGCCATTGTGGACTTGATTTGATGAGTTGTTATTGTCTCTAGATGTTGATAAGCCCTGTTGAATAAAGCTACCAGGTGGATTGATTAAACCTTGAAAGGTTATAGTTGCTATGAAGGTGGACACCGTTCTCAGATGCCCCCTTATCTCTTCAAGCCATGGATCCTTGTGCTTGAACCAATCTATAGGGCCTTTAAAATAATAATTCCATATGCACTTAAGGATCTTAATACAACAGCCATCATTCTGAGGAGGGACCACACCAGTTTCAAGTGACCATCAAAGACGAAGTAGTGACAAAAGAAGATCGTCGATTAGCAAAGCTGGACGAAGGCGCATGAAGATACAGAGCTTCCAAAGTATGAGCTTGAATTCGCGCCATTTGCATCATGCTTGCTAGGGTGGTCGGCTAGAAGGCATCGACCAAAGATTGAATATTTGACCGCAATCACCCCAAGAAACAAGCCATGGCCACTGACTTAGGGATGTCTACTTTAGAATGCAGATCATCGAATTCTTCAATGTAGTCATCAACAAATCCAGTCATGCAGAGTTTCTTGATTTCGACCATGGCATTAATGCTACGCACATTCGAGAATCGTGCTTCCACCTCTCGAAAATACTCATTCCAAGATATTTCTGCCTTCGACTTTTTCTTGATGAAGTCCAAGTGCCATTTCAGAGCCTTCTTCTCCAAATGGATGCTAACAATCGGATTCCATGCTCCATCGGTGTGTCGTCAACGGCAAAGAATTATTGGCAGCGGTATGCCCCTCCAAAAATCCGTACCGTCAAAATGGCGGAATTCGATCCGGCTATTCCTTGTTGGAGCAATATATGTCGACGCCGAAGGTGATCCAAAAGTGCCGGAAACAGGAGGGTTTTAGGGACGATTGGAAGTACCCAATGAAATGCCGGCCTGGCTGTGAACGGTCGAAGCCATCCCAGTGAGCTTGGTCGCCAAATCCCCAATCCAAGCTTCAATCCGAGCAATAGAACCCTTGCGATCGCTGATGTCAGCTGCATTTTGATTCAATCGAAGGCGTGTTTCTTCTGCTGCTGCAGCGTTATGCTCGAGTCGCTGCTCAATAGTCCAGAATCAGTCGGCTGATCGTGTCTCCGGCATGGTGCCCAAGAGATGGCTTGATACCAATTAGTACGGAGATAGGGAGAGAGGAGAGAGAGAAGAGATATTGATTCTTCATTCACTGCCAACAACAGTATTACACGTGGAGTTATTTATAACCCTCCAGGACTTGTTAGAAAGCTAACTACTATACTTGAATGGGTTACACTAGTTATTTCCTTTCGCCATGTAACCCTTTCTTTTCGGCCTTTGTTAATATGTGTTGTATTTCAATCATTTTGAAGTCTTTTGGACTTTGTTCCACGATATCCTGGGCTGTAAACCCCACTTTGTTCTTGAAGTTTCCTATTTCTCTTATTTCTGGAACTGACAGCAGATAGCACACCACCTAAATAATGAACATGGTGGTAAAATGTTCAATCAATTATACATGATTTCTGTACTGTGTTCATATGTAAGTAATATAAGAACAACTAATTAATACTTTAACTAACCTTTGACCATTAATCATAGTGCATGTGTAAATTGAAAAATAGATGCATAACTGTTATCACAATTAGGGAAAAGGATCGCAAAAGAATATCATACCTCAACTCGCTTCAACATGACAACTAAATGAAGAATGGTGTTGCCAGCCTTATCAGAACGCGTAAAGATGGGAGTACGAGGCTGGGCTGCAGTAATATTAATTGACATTGGCATGGTCCAATTTCACTAGAACTTCAAGAGTCTCTAAATGGTTGCATGTGACACACAAGTGAAACCCAGGGCTTTCTTTTCTGTCATCTGCATGACTTAGAGCATCTGGCCCTGCCATGATCAGCTCTTGCACAACCTCAGTTCTTCCTTTCATAGCTGCATAGTGCAGAGGAACTCTTCCCTCTCTGTCACAATTCAAGCATGGCTGATTGTTAACCTGAAACGGTTCCCTCACGATGTGGATGTGAGCCTCTGCAGAAGCCAAGTGGAGGGTTGTTCTTCCAGAAAAATCCATTCTAAAGGCGAGGTCGCGAACGTGATAGAGAAGAACCCTTGCAAGTGAAACATGACCTAGCAGTGCTGATATGTGTAAGGGAGTTTGATGGCCCTCTGGAATGTTGGCAAGGATTGATGTGTGTGTCTGTAACAATTTCCCCAGCGTTTGTTCATTCCCAAGCCATGCTGCCCGGTACAATTCACTCATTTGCTCGTTGAGTTCCATCTCTCGCGTTAGATGATGCTCACTACCTATACGGTACCCTTTACATGCACTGCTTTTTTCTCATATTACCCAAACAAAAGTTAGTTATTTGTTAAAATATATATATGCATGTCATCTTTTAATATGTGCAATTAATAAGATTAATCTGAAAAGAACATAAATGTTGAGATTCTATGTTAAGGACTAAATATAACCACTCAACTAATTCCTACAAGCCAAGGGAGTATAATGATGAGACCCGGAACTCTTACATTGTCACATTGTAGCCTGTATTTAGTACAAAAAAAATTCAAAATTTTAATAATGGACCAAATATCCTAAAGTTATATGTAATTAATTGGATATATTTTGGATGCATCTCCTTATTGCATTTTTTCTTTTGCCCGGATATGTGTTAGTGGCTAAGTTCTGAATCAAGCAAATGTAATGTCATATAGTGCATGGCACTTCAATCAAATTTGAAAGTTCAATAATGCTACTTCATTGATACTACGTACATGGGACTCTTATTTTCAACCTCTCATTTCTTATCGACTAAATATGAGGAGAGAAATTATTAGTCTATATAAATATAAATAATTAAAACATGTTGACTCAGAAATATATGGTCATGAGAAATAAGTGAGATCTTTGTTTATATTTTTACTCTCAGAAATTATGCACATCATGGAAAAGCTAATTACTTTTTTTTTTTTTTAAATGATTGGCTCAATCACCATGTGGTGGTGGATGGGCCCCACAGTAACTTTGGCCCCGTCCGGCCACTTGACTCTCTTTTCTTCCTCGGTATCAATGATTAAAGAACCGGACCGGACCGGACGGTCGGACCGATTGAACCGTCACCCGGACTCGTTAACGGCTCGGTTTGGACCAAAAAACCATTCACATAGTTGAGCCGGATTGGACCGGAGTTGAGCCGTTATTAAGCCGGAAACCGGAGTTGGACCGGGAACCGGAACGGTTTTCAGAAAACCGGACGGTTTTTAGCCTGACTGAAAAATACTAAAAAATTTTAAAAAAATAGAAGAAAAATAAAAAAATTGATCCCCTTAAATATCCTAATATATTTTTAGACTAGTTATAACCATATAGTATTATTTTATTGAAAATTTCATATATTGTGGTGTTAAAATCGTGAGTCGCTAGTCTTTTTGTTTCGATATTTGATCTATCTTTTAAAAAAATATTTTGATTTGAATGAATTGATAATTTGTAATATCATTAAATATTTTAAACATACATAAAATTAAATATATAAGGTTTTAGTCCATTTTCAATGATTTTATTATAATTTTAGATTATTTAAATGCATTTCTAAATTATTTAATAATTTGATATTTTTCATATATACTAATTATATGTATATAATATTTTTTTAAATTAATTATTGCGTCACCGGTCTGACCGAACGGTCCGACCGATCCGACCGATTAAACCATGACCCGTTGATCTTTCCGGTTCGACCTCCGGTCCGACTTTTAAAACATTGCTCGGTATACGGTCACTTGACTCTTAACACAACCAATTTTTTTCCCCTCAAACAAAAAAACACCTGTATGAATACTTGAACGCGAACGATCCAAATTATATAGGAGCTGACATGAGGCGGGCTCAAAGAGGCATTTCCACCTTTCATGCGAAAACGTCTTCCTTTAACTTGGTTAAAAGTGTTAACCAATAGGAGTTGAGTTTAGCAAAATGAGCTAGTCCCTTATAACATAATGAACCAATATTTAAATTCCTGCTGGGAGAGGTGCCCACATTTAATGTCCGACAGTGTCTCGAATAGGATTGTCTCCAATAGAAAGATGTCTATACTTTATTAAAAAAAAACTTTGGTGAGGGTGTTTACATTAGTTGACTTTAAATAATTTTGCACTGTATAATATAAGTACGTAAGAAAGTTTTATCTCATAAAACACAAAAAAAGTGATTATGTGGTTTTTCATTATAAGTTGAAAGTTCAAATATGGTCATGAGGATTATTGAGGAATATAATATTGATTATCTTCCTTTGCAATCCTCTTCATCTGATGAGATATTGGTCTCCCTAACTCTCCCTCCCTCCCTCCTAGCTTTTATTTTCAAGCATTTTTTTTAAAAAAAAATATTAATTCTTAAATTTTGGAAAAAAATCTTATAAATAAGAATGCCGAAATTTTCCAAATTTTCAAGGACATGCTTATATTCATTCAAAATATCTGGTTGGAAACACTTGACTAGAAGAGAGAGAAAAATTAGAATTCGAGAATAGTTATTGTTAAAAATAAAGTAAGGCCCTAATATTTTGTTATCTTCTTTTATTAAATTGATCCTTTTTTTCTTCAATTGTGAAATACAAGGTAGTTATAGAGTATAATTAAATATTTAGATGATAAATCTGCATATTATTTAAATTTTTTTGATTTCTTTCTTAGAAAATTCATTAAAAAAGGTTTTTTCTCCAAAAAAATTAGAGAAAATTTCTCAACCTGAGAGAATTTTTTTCAAATAACTCCATGTGAAAAAAATTATTTTAAGAAAATTCATAAAAACAAAGTACAAATAATTTTTTTCGTTAATTTTCATTAGAAAAAATAATTTTCTCTCGGATGTTCTACGATGAATTATCTTGTCTCGGAATTTTCCATAACAAAGCAACTTCCTACAATCTATTTCTCTCGCACTTAGGATCGTTGAGAAATTCTCATCGCTTTTCCTGAGTTTCTCTTGGATTTGGGCAATGGGAAAACTCTGATTTTCACCAAGTTGAAACCAGACTCGATCCTAATTTGTTTTTAATTAAAAATTTCTAATATAACAGAATGATTTCGAAGATATAAGAATATGTCTCAATTATCAAATGTAAGTGAGGAGCAAATTCTTCACCGCAATATAGGAAAGGATGAGATCGAAGAGGCTTTTCTGCCTTCGTTACCTCTTATTTGTCATAATCACTCAACATTTCCACGTACTCTTCTACGTTTTGTCCAATAGGAAAAAAACATTTATACTTTTCAACAAAGGTCGGTTTCTAATTATAATGTCCATATGCGCAACAAGGTCATTGTTCGACTAAGGCAATAATTCCGAGTTGAAAATTCAATTCTGTTAAATGCACGATTCTCGATCTTCTTTCAAACTCTCTTTTCTTATAAAAAATGATTATATAAATAATTAAGACATAGTTAATAATTAGAGAGGGAGAGAGGGCTATATATATACCTCATATAGGGGGATCGGATATGCTTTTCATATTTTCATCACCACCTCTTGATTGTTATTATGTTTCAACTCTGCTTTTCATTCGAAGGTTTCCTTGTCCCTATGTTTCACAATGAGGAGGACATTAAGTTTTCTAACTTAATTGGTGTTAAGAGTCCATTTCTGATTTTTATACATCCAACAAATCAATTCATTGGATGAAGACGTTAAGCTTAAGGTTAAAAGTTTAATTATGGTGACCAATAACGTTATGTCCTAATGGCATGCAGCTTGGAAAGGTCATGGATATGGTCCTGCTTATTAATTTAATCCTTTAGCTTATCTCCATGTGAGCCACCCCCATTATTTCTTTATTCCTACCTCTTGTTCATATATTAAGTAATTCTATTTTTCATTAGAAGATTCCTCCTCTGTATCCCGCAATTAACTCCACTACTCTCACATGATAGCGAAACCTGCAGGAATTCTAGCTTAAATGACAAAAAAAATCAATATTAAGACAATAGTTTTAGTTGAAAGTTCCACTATGGTGTTCTACGTTCTTTGCGTCTCCTGTACGTACCCCTTGCTTAGCTTGTTATCTGGCAATTAACTCTACTTTTCATTAGAAGATTCCCTCGTCTGTATCCATCAAGTAACTCTACTTCACATCATAGCGAAACTCAGGAATTCTAACTTAATGGACAAAACGAGTCGGTTTCTGATTTTCATATAAATCGAACAAATCAATAGTCGTTAGAGCTTAGGACGATATTTTTAAGTGGAATGTTCAACATTGGTTGGCTATGCTCTCCGCATCTTCTCTACTACACCTCTCATTTGCTATCTAAATAAACTTTGACTTTTCAGCCACAGACTCCCTCATTACTGGAAATGTTGGCCTAGAGGAACAATTAAAAAAAAAAATACTACCTCTGGTTCTCTTAACATAAGAGCTAGTTGACTAATTTGAATAGATTAAGAAAATTAGTTAAGTTAGTTATTTGTAATAAATAAGTGTTTTTTTCCTAAAATATCCTTACTAATCAAGTGTATTAGCTAAAATTATCATTATTATAAGGATCACTTTGAGGAAAAAAATAGATAAATATGAGAGACAAAGTGAATTGGGATTTTATATTTAGAATCAAAATAAAAGTCAAACGAGTTTTTATATTAAAGACCGCAGGTCTATTTAGTACAAACTTCCTCTCATTAATATTACCCCCATATATTCTCTTTCATCATGTTTGTATTTATTGCCTCTCGTTTACTCTCTCAATAAATAAGACAAATTTGAAAAAAAAAAATCAATTTCTAACCGTCTCCATGTTCGGAGGCAATGCACCACGGCCCCATTTATTAATTTTAACTAATTTTAACCATTAGTTCCTTAAACGTAATTCAGTTATTTGAAACTTATATATAGAACCGGAGGTAGTACTAAATAAAACCTCAGCTTGCTAAGAATGCAAAAAAATTATATACGACCACTAGTGTGACGTAAGTGGTAATTTAGTTAATCAGGTAATTTAATATTCAAAGTTCGCTTTCTGGGCAAGGCGTTTAATAATATTACGCATTATTGTATTAGCCAAATGCAGAAAAATCATCCTATGAGAAAAAAAAGATCATTGACCTATTGTATGGTACCGCTTTTGAGCCATAAAACAATACTAAATTATTTAAATTAAAAAAAATTATGGGCTCTATGCTTCTATCCATAGATCCGTATTAATCACAAGTCAACTGTCTCTCTATATATATAATTAAACTATTGTTTGAATTCTAAAAATTATATATACAAACCACTGTGCTAATTAATTTATATCAGTAGGTAAACGATGTTAGTGAAACTTTAACACTTGTAATATGTTTTCCCCCTTCTACAAATTTTCTTTTCGAAAAAAAAACAAAAAACAGAGCTTGAATTGGTCAGAATCGGCCAAAAGCAATACAGCCTACGTCTTTGGATTGAATGTTTAAGTGGGTGATGAGAATATTATTAGTGTAATGATAAAATGGACAGGTCAAAATTCAGAAAACAATATATTCAAATTGATTTATTATTCCATCTTTCACTAAATAAGAACTCAGTGAATGTATTCTTGAAAATAAGATGATGAAATATAAATATATTTATTGTATCTTTTAATTTTCGCAACCCTGAAGACTATTCAACTACACACCTGACTAGAGTAATCAACGATTAGAACATTAAGAAATCAACGCAACATACTTTGACGGATTCTTCCAAAATGATGTGTGTGCGTGTATATATATAATGAAGCATACCTCCACCTTTGGCATTCACGCAAGCGAGACAATCGATAATCAAAATGGGAACATCCCATCGTGAAGAAGACAGATTGAGCGTTCTTTACGAAGCATCACGCAGAGGGTCTTTATCAACTTTGAACTCAATTTTGCAGAAAGAACCATTAATCCTCCACAAGATCTCACAAAGTGGCTTCACCGAAACTCCTTTACACATATCAGCTTTGCTTGGCCACCTTGAATTCACCAAGGCGCTTCTCACATACAAACCCAATCTAGCCGTTGAGGTTGATTCTTCCAAGAACACACCCCTCCACTTGGCTTCTGCAGAAGGTCACATCGACATCGTGAAGGAACTTCTTAAAGTTAATAACAAGCCATGCTTGTTTCCTAATGAAGAGGGGAAAATTCCTTTGCACTATGCAGTTATCAGAGGGAGAATAGAGGTTGTGAAAGAGTTGGTAAAGCGAAGCCTGAGTCTCTGAGCTTTCTTGATGACGGAAACACTGTATTTCACTTGTGTGTGATACACAATCGTTTGGAGACTCTTAAAGGTTTGGTGGAATTGGAACTTGCCATTTCTGGGAAGCTTCTTTACTTCACAAGTTCTGATGGAGTGGGGAACACCGTTCTCCATTTAGCTGTCACGTCCAGGCAAGTTGAGGTATGATTGATATTATCCTTCCTTTTATATCTTTATATACATACATACATACATATATATATATATATAAGTAGTTTTCTTCTTACATGAAAGGGTTATATTTTCCGAGAATTATTGGCTGAAACGATACGTCTGGAGTATTGGTGTGATTTCATTGTGTCATAGATTAAGACAGATGCAGTTCATCACATGACGATATTTTACGGACTGAGATAAAAGTTGAATAAAAGAATCCGAATTTTACCATATAGCTAGCTAGTTTGGCTTATTAATTTAATAACCATTATTAATACGAAAAAATTGGTTATAATGTTCAGTTTATAATTTACTCCCTCTAGATAGTTTGCTGATTTTTCCCGATAGTCGAATCACCGGCAAATTAAGCCATTAGCCGCCTGGTCAGATGGATGATAGCGTCGATGGAGGAAAGATCAAAGAAATTTCGGATTAATGGGTTATAAGTAAGGAAATGGAGCCCATCTTCAAATGACCCCACCCTGGCCGATTATAATACTACTCAATAATTCATTTATTATTATTATATTACAGATAATTTGACTTTATGCTCAAGTTTGAAATATTTAAATAGGAGGAAAAGATGAAATTGAAATGCAAAGCTTCGACTCATGTGATTCGTTGGCGAGTTTGGATTTTTACTATTCTCTTCTTTTTGTCGTTTACTTCTCCTTTTTTTTTTTGTCAGCCAAACGATATATCCTCTCTTTCTTGTTTTCTTTCTTTCTAATTATTTTCGTTTTAGCAAATAGAGAAATATGAACAGAGATATATGTGTGTGCGTGCGCGCGCGCTTCGTCTTCCAATTTTTTCTTGCCATGAGATGAAAGAAAATTACCGCAAAGGGAAAATAAGCCACTTCGATCCAGCTGATGAGTTAGTGAGTTTATTGGGCAAAATAAGCAAACTAAAGATAAATTATAAAATAAAAAAATATTTTAAAAATATTTGGGTCTAATGTTTTTGCCCCAGAATCATATGACACCTCCATAATATATACTAACATGCATGTTTATTATTTCAGACTATAAGGTACCTCCTATCAATTACAGAAGTAACGGAAATGGCAAGTTTGGAGAACGACATGGGTCTCACTGCCTATGAAATCCTTAAACGCAGCCCGAAAGATTTCAAAACCCTCGAAATTCAAGTCATGCTGATGGAATATTCTGGAACCAGAGATGATGAAAAGAACGGAATCCACACTCCTTCTCACACGTCACCGCCAGTTGCAAGACCTCGAATTCGAAGAAAGAAGAAGAAGAAGAGAAACTGTTTGATAAGGCTTTTGAAATGGATTGGAGGTTGGTTCAAACACAAGGGTGACTGGGTAGAAGAAATGAGGGGAAATCTGAGTTTAGTGTCTACCGTTATAGCCACCATAACATTTCAATCATTAGTTAACCCACCTGGTGGCTTCATCCAACAAGGTTTATCTCAAGGTTTATCTCAAGGTCCATCCAATATTGAAGCCCTAAACTGCACTGTCCTTTCTAACAACAAGTCCTATTGCCCTGGGGAAGCTGTCTCATCTTTTCATTCCCAAAGTTTGTTTCTGGAGTACGTAATTTACAATACCATCTCCTTCATTTCATCACTTAGCGTCACCCTCTTGCTTATAAGTGGAGTTCCTATGAAGAACAAAGCTTTGATATGGCTTCTATCCATAGGCATGTGTATCACTCTCACAACCCTAGCCCTTGCCTACTTAGTTGCCCTCCTAATGGTCATGCCAGATCATCTTCGGAATGATAAAGCAGCTTTGATCACCATTTTAGTTTCAATATTGTCCTGGGCTGGATTGCTTGTGCTCGTTCTGGTGTTAATCACACTGCGCTTTATAATTTGGATTGTGAAGAAATTTGTCAGAGCAATCAAAAAACTGTTCACTTGTGGAATTAGGGAAAGTTGATGCTGTTTTTCTTCACATATCACATTTCAACTAATGCTATTACCGGGCCGCGCTCAAGTGGCGTGGGTTGCTCTTACGATTACTATATGAGGGTTATGTTTCCCTTCGTGTAATAACATTATTCTGTTTTGAGTTTCCACTTGTAATAAAATTATTTTTCGGTAATTTAACTATGTTATCTTCATCTACAAATTGAAGTTTTCTGATTAAGATGTGTTTGGGTAGAACTCGCATTTATGAACGTTGGCATCAAAATAGGGAAGAATGGAATTGATAACGCTCAACATGTTGGAAGAGAAATGACAGTATTTCACAAACATCTGAAAATAAAATGGGAAATTGGTTTAAATATAAGGATTATTGAGTAGAAGACATGAGAGGGAATATGAGTCTGGTGATCAAATGTTATATCAAATATTACATTTCAAGTTTTAATAAACCCCCGTGGTGGCTTAATTCACCAAGGTTTATGTCAAGAATTGATTACATCATCAAATGTTTTGATGGTGGTTATGGTTCTTTGAAAAGTAGAAGGCCAAGAGATGAGGAAAAAAGTTATGCACTACATCTTGAAGGTGTAAACAACACTTTCTTTTAATTTATTTCGCCCCTACCTATTTTGATCTTTCGTTAGCATATTTTTTTTTTATAAAAAAAGTCACAATATATGTTACTTCATGAAGACTAACGTCCCCCTTATATGTAGAAATTTCTTAAAATAACACAACATTTTACCATGTTGTAACTCTTGGCACAGCCTTTTATATAAATTTCTTAATTTATAAAAACATGACCTTTTAAAAAACACATCTCTTCACTTTAAAAACATTCCAACATGCTTTACTTCGCATGGCCTGAGCTGGATTGTTTGTGAAGAAATACGTCAGGATAATCAAGAAGATCTCTATGCAAACGACCAAGGAATGAGAGCGAACATATGTGTTTCGTATATGATTTATTTTTCAATTAATGTGTTTTGTTGTTTGGCACTGGGCGGCAAACGTTGTGGATTAATTTTACTGTTGACGGACTAATGAATTCTTATTTTATTTGTGTTTACATGGTTTACTTCGTAAGCTTTAGGACACTTATCATGATTATTTGGCTTAATGTTAAAAGATTTGATTGAATTATTTTTCATGTGTTAATTAAAAATTTAGGCAAGTTAAATCACTTTATATTAGAGAGAGAGAGAGAGAGAGTTTTTCTAGCAGAACTAAAATTTCATGGAATTTTCATTCGGCAGGGGTCACAATTCCTCTCCATTTAACCGACGTCTATTACCAAACACCTTTTTAGCTAACCTAAACTAAGTTGGGAGGTTGCAAACGTTAGGCGACGATTAAAAAAAGCGGGTTGTGAGACAGCGAACAGAAAAAGAAGAAAGCAGAAGGGGAAGTCGTAAGCTGCAGAAACCATTAGGTTCAAATTTCTGTTATAAGTATCCGCATTTAGTATTTAATAGTATTTTAAAGTGGATGATCTTCAATAAGAGAATATTTGTGTCTAAGAAAAACTACATTCGTCTTCTTTTTGAAGAAAAAAGGGAACTTCTTATGAATACTTGAAGGTAAACAATCCGCCTTGTAGACTCGTGGCTTCCTGGAGAGGGTGCTACCTTATCTAGCAAGTCGCGATCGAGTTCGAATAGGACAGGGATCGGAGGTAATATATGAACGTAAACGATCCAAAATACTCTTAGAAGGAGGGGGGAAAAAGTTCCAAGATACATGTATAGGAGGAGATGAGATGAGATGAGATGGAATCAAAGAGGCATTAACTTTCACGAAGAAACGTTTCAAATTATTTTCATATCAAACAAATTGATTCATTAGAGTGAGACATTCATTTTACGTTTAAGGTTCAATGTGATAAGCATAAACTCAAAAAGAAAGTTCAATCCCCAAAGGCTAGCATATTAGAAGAAAGAATTCCTTAAACTTGTAAACTCCACTTCGTCAATGTGAGACACATAACATTCAAATATGGGAATTATTATTCTCTCCCTTTGCAGTCAGTCCTCTTCATTTGATGAGCTGCCAAAATATTTTAAAGTTTATATGAAAAGCAATAAATTGAGTACTTCTTTTTTAATTACAAAGGCAAGATTAACTTGAGGTTACAAAATCAGATTTAAACCAAGTCGTCCCTCATCAGCCGAGCCTAAGATAGTGAGTTATGCCTATCCATCCATCAGAGTAGTAATTAGATGATAAGCTTCCAATGAGTCGGTATGAGCCTATGCAAATCTGCAGTACAGTGTGAATTGCCAAAAAATTGAATCCCACCAAAATTTGAGTAATTCCTACTCCGCCTTCCTCCCCGCCTTCCTCCATATCTTTTCAATGATTGTCAGTTCCTAATTAATTCGTTAGATGCAGGAAATAATAAGTTGAACGTTCAACCATATATGTTTCATTGTTTTGTTAGATGAAGGTAGTAAATGCTTCTCGTCCTTCTAGCCTCTCTTTTCTTATCAATCTGGACAAGTGATTATCTAAATAACTAAGACGTAATTGACTGAAACAAAAGTCATGAGAACGCTGTTCATACTTTTCTGGCAAATAATGGAAAAACAAAGTCAGATACGATTGTTCATTTCAATTTCAAGTCAGAAAATTCTTCATGTATGTAATTAATTAAAGAGCATCAAATTGCAACCGTTTTTACTTATTTATTTTAAAAAATATTTTTTGAACAACGTGCGTATATTATTTTGGTTGTATTCCATGGTTTTCTATTTGTAATTTAATGTTCCGTGAAAAATGATTATACGCCGGTGAGTGTCAGAGACCCGGTGAGCTGGCCGCTGGCAGGAGGGCTTTTTTTCATATTGGTCAATGTGGGATCTAATCTCACCACAGCCTAACCATCTTAAAATTTAGAGTGATCACATTGAGCTACAAATGTTTTGTCATCAAATTGGTGCAAAATAATAAATAACCTCCAGTCTTAAATATAAAACCTCATTTGTAGTTTAATTTACACTACAAACAGGATCTTATATTTAGAAGTCAAAGGAGGTAATATATTGTTACTTATTTAATTTTTATTAGAGGTGATTTATACCTTTTATATAGATATTAGACTACATTTTATTCCTATTAACAACTTTTGTTTAGCAAATAAAAAGGCTACTTTTTAGGCCATTTACAACTTTTACTTTGTACAGATTTTGACTACACTTTATTAATTATTAAAACTTTTGCTCACCAAGTAAAAAGACTACTCTGTAGGTCATTCACAGCTTTTGTTAAATGAAACTAATGATTTTAAAATTAAAAGACCAAAATTGTGCTTTATAATTGTAAGGGACTAAATTAAGCTAAATGCAAATTTAGAGGACAAATTATATATTTTTAGCCAAAAATTAATTACTTAAATTTTGCAATAGGAATGCAAAATTTTTTATATTTTATCTTATAAAAGAGAAATAAATTGAGTATTTCCTACTCTTCGTTTCTCCTGTCTTTACAGTGACAGGCAGTTTGTAATTAATGTCGACACATGCATCTTATTAATTCGTTAGATGAAGGCAATAATACTTTGAAATTTCAAAGGTATGTGTAAATGCTTCTCTTCATTCTAACCTCTCTTTTCTTATCAATTGAATTAGTGATTGTCTAAATAATCAAGACGTGCTGGACTGAAACAAAATTCATGAGACACAAGAAGATATAAATTGCTCATACTTTCAGGAATTCTGACAACTAGTGAAAAAATTATACATACTTGTTCTTTTGGCTCAATTTTGTGTAAGAAAATTCGAGCATCAAAAATAATATATTTCAACTATTCAATTCGAACTGTAACCATTATATCTATTTATTTTTAATAATATATTATTTGAACTGCATTTTCACATTGATTTTTAATTATGTTCAGGTTATGCAATAATGTACACCTCTGATTCTAAATATAAGACATATTTTATAGTTTAATGTTTGGAGGGAAGTTATAAGCATTACGTTCATGCATAGCTTCCATAAAGACTGGAGGGAGTATTATATTTTCATTATCCAAACATTCTAATTAATGATCCAAAACTAGAGTCGCAAGTTTAGAATTCTAAGAAAATTTACGTCAATTTTTTTTTAAAAAAATCGTCAGCGTATAATATATAATTCATAAAGTGTGTGCTATTCATCATTCATCAATCATATATAATATAATTCATTTCTCAAAGCTCATGCTATATAGGTAAAATATAATACAGTAGACAGTGTTGATGCCATTTCGTTTTTCTTTTTTGATAAAACGAAGATATATATAATTAATAAAAGGTACACTTTACAGGACTACATCAGAATAACTAGAAAAGGAAAACAGAAAAAATTCCTAACAAAATCACAAATAAAAGAACAACTATCATAATTTTGAAAGGATTCGAGTATCAACAAAACGTCTTGTGCAAGAGTAAAGTAAGATCCTGTATAGAAAGAGCATAGATTGATGAACTTTTTCTTTGTGCAAATGATAAGAAGAGGTTTCCTGTGATTTAAAATTAGTATATATGATAGAATCCAATAAGTCATCATACGGAAGCAAAGAGCACAGAAGGAGTCATGAGTATTGGATTATATGCTTAGCTGTAGCCAGCTGTAGTGGGCCCAACTTGACTCACACGAGTAACAAACTTCAGTTTAGCATGTTATAACTACTTACAGTATAAATAGTTCAGCTCGGCTCAAATTGTACGGTGAAGTAATATCAATAAAAGAATTACTCAGAGCTTTATCTTTCTCTCTTTTACATTTCTCTGCAATTATTCAGATATGGTATCAGAGCCACCGCACTACTGGTGACATCCGATCCGATCCTGTTCAATTTTTTCTGTCTATCTTCTTCTCAATCAACACAGCACGTTTGTTTTTCTGAAAAAAAATGTCTGGATCTTCAACTATTGGTGCTACTCGTGAGGATTTGGCTCTGTCTGCCACTTCAGGGCCACGGTTCTTTGTCAACAAGAAGATCACAGTCAAATTAGACGATCACAGCTATCTCATGTGGAAGCAGCAAGTTCAATTGATGGCCAAACAACACCAACTTCTTGGCCTTCTTGATGGTACATCGAAAGCTCCGCCGCTGCAAGTTCAAGGCGATGGTGGTCAAATGGTTTCGAACTCAGAATATGAAGATTTTGAGGTTCAAGATTCATCATTAGCCTCATGGTTACTCTCATCCGTGAGCTCTTCAATTCTTCCCGAACTGGTAGGCTAGAACACTTCATTCCAGATCTGGTCGCGCCTTGAGCAACTCTTCTCTGCTAGATCTGATGCGAAGGTTCTTTCCTATCGGAATCAACTTACAAATCAAAAGAAAGGGGATTACCGATGCGAGACTATCTCGCTACAATCAAGTCTATCTGCGATCATTTGGCCATGCTCGGTCAACGTGTTGCTGACACTGATCATGTTTCTTATATTCTCAATGGACTTTCGGCTGAATATGAGTCGGTAATAGCAGTAATTAACGGTGCTCATGGGAAGTTCACATTAACAGAAGTGCATACCATGCTTATAGATGCAAAAACTCGACAGAAAACATTTCTTCTGAATGCCTCATCCCAAGCAAATACAAATGACACTGTGTTTCATGCGGCTTATGCACCACGCACTATCGGAGGCAGGGGTAGTACTCCTCCACCTCAACCACCGCAACCTCCATATTCTCAACCGAGAGCTCTTGTTGGAAGAGGTCGTGGCCGCGTTTTTTCTTTTCGGCCATCATGTCAGATTTGCCACAAGATTGGACACACAGCTGATAAATGCTACTTTCGGTATGATTTTAACTATAGCAATCAGACCAATCCTGTCTATACTAACTCATCTGCTCCTCCTAGTGCTTATCACACAGCTTACAACTATGCTCCTGTTGTTGGTGATTATGGAGTCTCTAATGTCCCTTCTGCATGTGAATTTGGCACTCACACTAGTAACCAAGGTGAAATCGACAAAAATGTCAATGTTGCCGCTAGTTCATCCTCTCCAATAGTGAACAATATTGCTGAAATCGTGACTTCCCAAGGATCAACAACTTCTCAGGTAGTTGATCATTCGTCTAATGCTCAAGTTTATCTTGCTACTCCATCTGCAGTGAACAATGATGGTGCATGGTACTTTGACTCGGGAGCCACTCAGCATGTTGCAAACTCAACTGATAAGTTGCAGCAAATTATACCTTTCAATGGAACTGGAACAGTTGAAGTAGGTAATGGCCAACCCCTTTCTATTACCACAGTTGGTCACTCTGTTTTACCTGCAAATAAGTCATTACTTCTACGTAATGTTTTATGTGTCCCTGAAATGAAAAAGAATCTCATGTCCATTGCTCGGTTTACAAAGGAAAATCAGGTTTCTGTTGAGTTTTTTCCTGATAATTGCATTGTTAAGGATCTGCAGACCCCACTGATTTTGGCTCGTGGTACTGAAACGCATGGCATGTACAAGTATCTGGACCACTCTGTGAAAAAGCTCGCACCAGTTAAAAATACTCATAGTAGCTGTTTCACTGTTTCTGCTGTTAACAATTTTACTTTGTGGCACCGTAGACTTGGTCATCCTTCAAGTGACCTCACTAGAAAAATTTTGCAGTTGAATAATGTAGCAGTTCCCAAAGATATGTCTTTATCTGTCTGTAAGGCGTGTCAGATGGGAAAAAGTCATAAACTACCTTTTGTACCCTCTGCTACAATCTATAAAAAACCATTTCAACTAGTTATGGCAGATCTGTGGGGCCCTGCTCCTATTGCATCTTCTGGCTATGCATACTATATTGCGTTTGTTGACTCATATAGCAGATTTGTCTGGATATATTTACTTAAGCACAAATCAGAGGCTTTACAAGCTTTTAAAAATTTCAAGTTAAAGGTTGAAGTTCGATTTCAGACAAAAATTCAGCAATTTTAGTCTGACAATGGGGGTGAATTCTTGGTGTTCAAAATTTTTTTAACTGACTCTGGTATTGAACATAGACTTTCTTGCCCACACACGTCTGAACAAAATGGATTGGTTGAGAGACGGCATAGGCAAATTGTTGAAACAGGACTGACCTTGCTGGCTCAGGCCTCCTTGCCATTATACTACTGGCCCCATGCTTTCACAGCTGTTGTGTTCTTAATAAACAGATTACCTTCACAACCTCTTGATGGTCTTACTCCTTATCAAAAACTATATGACAGAAACTGGATTATTCACTCCTTAGAGTTTTTGGCTGCTTGTGTTATCCATGGTTGCGACCCTATCAGGCAAACAAGTTAGCATTTCGCTCAGCTCCCTGCATCTTTCTTGGTTACAGCTCCTAGCATAGAGGCTACAAGTGTCTGGACTCACAAACTGGAAGGTTATACATCTCTCGTCATGTAAGATTTGATGAGTTTACATTTCCCAGTCAAACTCAGTTCAATATTCGAAATTTACAACCTTCCACAAACACTTCATCCTCTTCCTTTACACCTTTACCCATCAAACCAGTCTCACAACCCGCTGAATCTCAAACTCATTCAATCCCACCTACTACTTCTCCTTCTCAACCATCCAACTCATTATTTCCTAGTCCCATACTTGAGTCTTTTCCTGAATCTACACCAGAAACCTCTTCCAGCGTACCACCACAGATTCCTACTATTAACCAAAATACCCACCCCATGATAACAAGATCCAAAGCAGGAATATTCAAACCCAAAGTTTACCTGGCAGCAGCCTCTGAGTCATTCTGTCCTCAAACTATTCAGGAAGCATTACAGTATTCTGAGTGGAAAGCAGCAGCTGAAGAAGAGTATAATGCTTTACTGAAATTTGATACTTGGGAGCTTGTCCCACAGCCATCAAATCGTAAAATTGTGGGATGTAAATGGATTTTCAGAAACAAGACAAATGCAGAAGGTGTCGTTACAAAAAGAAAAGCCAGATTAGTTGCTATTAGATTTTCTCAAGAAGTTGGTTCGGACTACAATGATATTTTTAGTCCAGTAGTAAAGCCATCAACTATTAGAATACTAGTTACTCTTGCTGCCACAAATAACTGGAAGATGCATCAAGTTGACTTTAATAATGCATTTCTAAATGGAGACCTGACCGAAGAGGTTTTTATGCAACAACCTCCAGGCTTCGAGCAAAATTCTTCAGCAGCCTTAGTTTGCAAGTTGAAAAAGGCATTATATGGGTTAAAACAGGCCCCTAGAGCTTGGTTCATTAAGCTCAAAGACACCTTGTGCAATCTGGGCTTTACACAAACTAAGTCCGATGCTTGCTTGTTTACTAGGATTAAACCAAATGAATCCATCTATTTACTGGTTTATGTTGATGATCTCATACTCACAGGCAGTAATGAAGGGATTTTGAAACAGCTCATCACTGAAATGAGTTCTTATTTTTCGTTGAAGGATCTAGGGGAACTCTCATTGTTTTTAGGGAGAGTTTCACCGTGGCAGCCTTGGTGTACACTTGTCACAAAAAAGATATATTACGGAACTCCTGACCAAAACAAACATGCTGATGGCAAAAGCCAAAGCAACTCCCATGGCTACAAATGCAAACTTTGCCTTAGTAGAAAGTCCAATCTATGCAGATCCCAAACTCTATCGCAGTATTTTTGGTGCTCTACAGTATATTTGTTTGACCAGACCAGATATCTCATTTGTTGTAAATAGATTGGCTCAATACATGCAGAACCCACTTGAAGTGCATTGGCAAGGAGTTAAACGTGTTCTACGTTACCTATGTGGGACTACAAGTTATGGTCTCTTGATCAAACCAACTACGTATCTCTCCATTCAATCTTATGCTGATGCAGATTGGGGTTCCTCTAGAGATGATAGGAGATCCACAAGTGGTTACTGTTCATACTTGGGGTCAAATCCTATTATGTGGTCTTCACGCAAACAACAAGTGGTTGCAAGATCTACCACCGAAGCTGAATACAGAAGCGTAGCAGATTCCGTGTCTGATGTTTTATGGGTTTTATCTGTACTCAAGGAGTTGAAAATTCAAGTAGTAGGAACACCTTCTGTCTGGTGTGACAATTCGGGTGCTGGTGCTCTCTCTGCAAATCCGGTACTTCACAGCAAGTCCAAACACTTTGAGTTAGACTTATACTTTGTGAGAGAAAAAGTTGCTGAGGGAATTTTACGTGTGGGACACATTCCTGCCTCTGAACAGGTAGCAGACGTGCTTACTAAAGCATTACCTGCAGCTTTGTTTAGGACCTTTCGTGAGAAGCTTCATGTGGTCCCTGTGGAGAGTATCTTTAATTCTCATGTTCACCCTCAAGAAAAGTCAAGTAGGGGAAGTATTGGATTATATGCTTAGCTGTAGCCAGCTGTAGTGGGCCCAACTTGACTCACACGAGTAACAAACTTCAGTTTAGCATGTTATAACTACTTACAGTATAAATAGTTCAGCTCGGCTCAAATTGTACGGTGAAGTAATATCAATAAAAGAATTACTCAGAGCTTTATCTTTCTCTCTTTTACATTTCTCTGCAATTATTCAGATAATGAGCAGCCTTAGAGCGCAAACAAGAAAATTTATGAACTGGAGAACCTCTCAAGCATAGGATGCCATAGCAGAAAACCTTTCTAATCCTCTTCTTCTCTTTTGATAAAATAATGAACTGCAGAAAGGCTACGCTGCTGAACAGGTCTATTATGATGACAATAAAATGCCAACCTTATGAATGGCAGATTTTCTAGAATCTCCTTGATTACAGCTTCTGGCTATTTCGTTTATTTACACATGCAACAATAGTAGAGGAATATATAGAAATAACGTGTGGCACTAATATAACAAAAAAGTGATTACCCAAATATTTTCTTTTTATTTTCAAAGATTTCAAAAGCAATAGATATTTCGCTCAATTATAAGGATGGATATTTTTTTCCAACCAAAAACAGATTTTATTAATATGGATCCAACAAAGTATCCGTCACCAACATAACAAAAATAACAATAATCGTAAAAAGCAGAGATAGAAAAAATCTGCGACGTCCGTTTTCTCTGCCCCAACTCGTTGACTTCTTGATCAACTCAACCAAATGGAACATTAAAGTTCAGTGTGATTAGCGCTATTATATTAACCCAAGCAATAATCTAACCCAGATCATGTCAAACACTATATCCTTCATGGTCGAAATTAATCCCTTCTGTCTCCTTCAAAAGATATATAAATACTTCTAAAAATCATTATGGAGCTTTAAGGATGATGCCAATGCTTGTCCATCACAATGTTGGCAAGTGATCATCAAGGATGATGCAGTTGAAGGGTGCAACAGTCGTATATGAAAATCTAACACAGCAAAAGATACACACACACACACACATATATATGAAAAGCAAGCTAGATTACAGTGCAATACGAAAGAGAATGACAGAAATAGCAATCTTAGTCACAAAGGACTGACAGAGAGGGAATTACAGAATCACAGGAAGAACGAGGGAATATTACAGAGAGAGAGTTCCTAACAACCAACTCCCCCTCGTCTATGACCTCGTCGATATTTATCTTTGCCTTCTCCTTGTGCCTTTCATGCCGTGTTCTCTGGATCCCCATCACGTGCTCCTGGCTTGGGCTCCCCATTGCGTCACTTTCATGGCCCATTTCTCTTAGGATCATAACTTTACTCCCCCCCCCCAGAATGGACCTTGTCCTCAAGGTCTAGGTGAGGGTACAATATCATGAGTACCTGATCATCTTCCCAAGTGGCATGTGGATAACCATCCCATCAAATTAAGCACTGTTGCAGCCATTGCCCAGATGGTGTATGAAGCATGATGGTTCAATTGCCGCTAGTTGCCCGATAGGATCTTCATGGCCAGATAATAATGGCAAGGGCATACATTCATTCAAGTGATTGAATATTTTAGGCCCCCCTTTAAAACCTTCAGATGCAAAATGTTCCAAAAGGATAGCATATAGCCATTTAATCAAATATGGTGGAGATACAGTATCGACGTGAAAACTTGAGAAGAAACCAAACCAAAGTGTCTTGGCGATGATGGTGTCCAAGGCAATTACATCAATCACAGGGTCTACATTTAAATACCAAGCTCTTAGAGCATTTCCAGGATCAAACACCAATATCAATGAAGAAAAAGTAATGGGAGATTGATTCCATGACAGTGGGTTCATTCCCAAAATTGAAATGCTCAAATGAAGTGAGCCAACAAGTGCAAAGAGAACAACAATACCCTTTTCCCTATAACAAGAACCACCATTGAAATAAAGGGCACCGTAGTTGAAGCTAGAAAGTGTCAAGCTGTAATCGATCCTTGCTCGTAAGACCCAATCAAAAACATCTAGAATCTTGGTCATTTGTATCAGGTTTAAATGCATATGAACTTTGTGATCCTTATAATTGTGGCAAATATAGTTCGAGCTAGTAATAGCGGATCCAGGGTCACATATCAATTGGAGAAACCAACCAATGAAAAACTGGAGCTGCTCAATAAGTAATTCACTCAAACTAATTCCACACCATGAGAACTTTTCTCGGACAGTGAATTCATTATTTTGGCTGCCAAGTTTTTATAAAATTCATGCTCCATAAGTAAAATATTTTGTGCAAATCCACATACGGACAGCAGCTTGACCTCAGATGATACGAGATCAATAACAAGAACTTTCTTCTTTAGCATTTCCCATGCCCTCAATCTGTTAGAAACAGCGGCAAGCAAGTCCACTGTGAAACCCCAGGCATCTTCTCCTTTTCCACCATTAGCATGATATATGCAAGTGGCTTTACAACAGAGTATAGCAAAAGACCCAAGAATCAAGTTATGATTTCTATTCAAATTCAGTTGAGCTATAGTGTCATTTAAAAGGTGGGTAATAACAGTAACCACAGTGGCTACAGAAGGTTTTATAATGGAGTGCTTCCTCCCCAAAGCCACACCACCAATATCAAACGGAGCAACATCTATAAAATAGGTTAGGTTTAACATATTTAGCCTTCTCGAACCTTGCATACGGTCCATATTTATAGGATTTACATAGCTGAAGAGCTTCAAATAGATGTGCACTTGATGCAGAAAATTCACCGAAGTCAAGTCTAGGATTTAATGGATTATATATGTTAAGAAAACCAGAAAAGTGTTGCATGGTAGCTGCAATCGTAGCAACTATACTAGCTAAGCAATGATAGAAATCATTAATAAAATGCAAACACCCTTTACCATATCTGGGTCAAACACGGAAATGAAGAATGGAAACATTGGCAGAAAACCAGCAAATGGGATAGGAATCTTAATGCGACAGGTGGCCAAACACATGGGGTGCATCTTAAGCGACACATGAACTGTGTCTCCATTGTGGACCATCAACTGCCAGCTTGGAACGACAGTTCTAGAACGATTAAACAGAACAAAACCAAGCATGAAGGAAGAGTGTGGCAATGATGGTACCTCTATCACAAAGTCTGAACACACATCGTCAGCCTTATCAAGGAAAAGCTTATATGAAAGCCAAGCCCTGAGTTGCGCCAATTATGATGAATAAGAGTGGCTCAACAACCCACCAAAAAGAAGCTCGTCCTCTGACATTTAAATCACGTTAGAACATGAATAACCCATTGCTACCTCATCCATTGTAAGGTTTAGATTGACCTCGTCTTTGTTTGGGTCATCAGCATCATCACCTTTTGCTATCTCATCCTTAAGCATTTCATCCTCGTCTTCAGTATCCACCATCTTGGTTGGGGTTGATATTAAATGTGGAACAAAATCCTCATGGAGAAGATGCGACCTATGAAGTTCCTTGGCCTTGATTGTTTCTGTCGCAAATACCGAACGCCCTTGAGTCTCTTGGTCGATGTCCTTCGCTGAGGTCGTTGTCCATGAGTGGTCGGTGGAGCTCGTCAGCCTGGGAAATGGAGATAAGCCATCCATAGCTCCTGCCATCGTTTCCATCTGTTGTATAAGAGTGCAAAAAGAAGCTTCTAAGCGGTCTAAACTGCCATTAAAATCTTGTTGCATCTGAGCAGAAAATTGTTTGATCGAGTCTTCAAGCTCATCAAGTCCTGCATGATTAAAATCATCTGCCATTGGGGTAGGTTCTCTCAACGAAAGCACCATTGTAACAGTCGTATATGAAAATCTAACTCAGGAAAGGATATATGTATGTATGTATGTATGTATATGAAAAGCAAGCTCGATTACAGTGGAATACATAAGAGAATGGCAGAAATAGTAATCTCAATCACAAAGGATTGCTAGAGAGGGAATTACAGAATCACAGGAAGAACGAGGGAATATTACAGAGAGAGAGTTCATAACAACCAACTCCCCCTCCTCTATGACCTCGTCTATATTCATCTTTGCCTTCTCCTTGTGCCTTTCATGCCGTGTTCTCTGGATCCCCATCACGTGCTCCTGGCTTGGGCTCCCCATTGGGTCACTTTCACTGCCCATTTCTCTTGGGATCATAACAAAGGGGTCATAATAAGATGAAGTGGCACGGGGGACTTCAATTTTAGGAGATAAGCCTTGTTGAATAAAGCTACCGGCCGGGTGGATTAATATCAAAGCTTGAAAGGTTATATATAGTTGTCATAATCAAAGCTCAACAACACAAATAGATCATATATACATAGCAAAATAATATATTATTTAGCAAACTCCTAATGCAGAGAAAGTACAACAGAAGTGGGATTGTTAATTAGGAATTTTCATTGGGGACGGTGTTCTTAATTGATCTAGATTGCTTGCTACTATTCTCTTCCACCAGTCTCGCACCAAGTGGCCATGGACTTGGCTACTGATAACAAGTGCCTATATATAACGAGATAAAATTGTTAGGGGACAAAAAATTAAAGGAATGGATTGGGAACGCAATCCTTAGAGAGAGAGAGAGATATATATATGTATATATATATCTCTATCTTCAATACTTTCTCCAGTCCTTAGTACAAATTAACACCCAATGACAATTTAATGAAATTAGTTATTTAAATTACCCACAATAGAAGTTATTAATCGAAGGAATTTGATTAATTAGTTAGAAATTTTATAATTAGTCCGGGATAGAGGGTGAAAAAATTTTAATACTTTAAACAAAGCATGCATGTTATATTAATTGTGAAGTATGTCGATGGGAGGGCTTATAATAAGCACGGGAGGAAGTATAAAAATATCTTATTATTTTTAAGTGAAATAAAAATTACTCCTCCGGTCCTTAATAATAAGACCCATTTAACTAATTTGATTAGATTAAGAAAGTTAGGTGAGTTAGTTAATTATAAGAAAAGTGACACATTTTTCCTAAAACACTATAATCATCTTTTTTAATATCCCTTCTCCCTCTTTTACTTGATTATGGTTGAGAGAGTATCCATAGGGATAATTTAGAGAAAATTAATAAATATAAGAAATGGGTTTTATATTTAGAACCAAAACCAACTCAAGAATTGAGTTCTATATTAAAGACAGGAGGAGTATTTTTATTGGCAAAAAGTATTATTTTTCATGTCTATATTTTCATTTATTTCAATTTACACTGCGTGCTCCCCGTAAGGACTGGGATGTGAACATGTCTGCTCCAAAGGTCGAGTATGTTGGCCTCCATCGATTGGCATGGAAGTGGAACCTTTGGTGAAGATAATAATGTTCTAAGATCCCAAAGCTTTTAAATATTTATTAGGGATTTAATTATGTACTGGCATACATTTGCGGAAAACTAAAACCCTCAATTGCAACAATTAGGAGTGATGCATTAGATCTATCTGGATAAACTCATTTTTTCAGCATCATCAGCATAATTAATTATTGTCTCAAATGAACATAGATAGACACTAGAAATAGATTAAAAAGGGCGCTCTTGAAACGTGAAAACTGGACATAAAATGACACTATTATTAATACACAAAAGAAAAAAATGAACAGGGATAATAATATTGATAGCAACAGTGTATCCATATGCAAGGAATGTGAGAATGAAACACATGCCTAATGATATCCTTTTTGGTTTTTAAATTTAAGCAGATGTTCATCTAATTCGTATTTAATTTTTTTATTGTATTACATTTTCGTAAATCATGCTTTTAATCTTGACTTTACTGTATGATTCTTAATATTTAGATCATCTAATATGTCATGTTTTCATTATCAAAAAAACATTCTTATTAATGATACAAAGATTTTGTCCCAATTTTAAAATTTTAAGAATTTTATTTAAAAAATTGAAAAATAGAAATCATTAAATGTATAATATATTATTCATAAAATTTATGCTATTCATCAACCATCTACGTAATTGGAAAAAAAAACATAACTGAAAGAATACACAGAACAATCCACTTTTTTTTTTTTTGCCTTGCCAGCAATCTACGTAATTAATACTATTGTATTCAAGGATTGCACTTGAGCCCAAAAATGAGTTGAACCACGTACGTGGCGATCTAAACTTCTTTTGGCACGAGGAGGACTGAACGAGGGGAAATGTTAGAGGATGTATAAAGCAATTTAATTAAGAAGGATCGTTATGCAAAAATTGTTTGTACAATGATGAAGTAAATATGTCAAAACAAATACCCTCAAAACCTCTAAGAACCCATGTTTTAGCAAGGTGTGCTCTTTATGAATAAGCAGAGATATAAATGTTTAGTCACATGGTAGCATATAAAGACTTTTATAAGTAAGGACATTAACAATCATATTTAACTAGCAATTTTATTTACACAGGCAACGAACATGCTAGAGGAATATATAGAAACGAAGCGCTAATATAACATATCATATAAAGCAACAGCGTCCATTTTAGCTTCTTCCAAATGTTGACATCTTTGATTGTCCCAACACACTTCTTCCGAAACCAAATAAAACTAAACAAGCGCAATGTGATTAACATTAATATATGTAAACGTGCGTGTATATGTATATTACTACCTCCTATCCTTAACATATAAGAGTTAGGAAATCAATTTAAAAATATTTAAGAAAAATTAGTTAAGTTAATTACATGTCACAAATGTGTCTTAATTTCCTTAAATCACTCTCTATAATCACATCATGCATTACTAGAACTACTCCTTAATGGGAACTCTATAATTAATAGGGGTGTTTAAAAAAAAATATTATCAATTTGGGAGGCAAAATAAATTGATATTTTATATTTAAAACTAAATCCAATTCTCAACTAATTCTTTTATTAAGGACCACTAGGTGGTACTCCCTTCAACACAAAATATAAGCATCAAATAATTAACTAACGCAATTTAAAAAGTTAGTTAAATTTGGTTAAACATAATAAATATGTGAAAAATGTAAATTATTTTTTAAAACACCCTTATGGGAGGGTAAGTGGGAGAGAGAATGAATGAAAAAGGATATGAAAGGGAATGAGTAGAAAAAATGATATTAGGGACACATATAATTAATTAAGGATAAAAACGAAAAAAATGCATTAAATGATTTAACAAATCTAAAATAATGCTTATAAAAAAAATCCTATCCTTTCAAAGATTTGAGACTTATATTTTAAAGTAGAGGTACTTAGATAATTAAGAAAACTCCTTATGTATATATAGGAAGTACACAACAGAAGTGGGATGGTTAATCAGAGATTTTTTTCATTCGGGATTCTGTTATTAATTAATCTTCTTTTTGGGGTGACAAGTTCTTAATTAATGTACATTGCTTGCTAATGTACTCTTCCACCACTCTTGCGCAAATTGGGCATGATATTGAGAAGAGCCTATGATGCGATATAAAAATTATTAGGGAACGATAAAGGAAAGAAATGGATTGGGAACACAATAATTAGATAACTTTTTATCTTTAATATAACATATTATTTTTGGGAGTGACATATAGAACCCATCTGAATCAACTTATTTTTAGCGCAACTTTTTAAAACATAGCAGTCATTAAAATACAACATTTGAAACTCAAATGTTATTTCTGAAATTTGCCTTTATTTTTTTTTTAACAGTACACAGCAGCAGTAATTCAAAAACATATAGCTAAATGATCATTCACAATAAGCAAAGTTTCTCAAGCTAGCGTTGAACATAGACAGACACTAAAAATAGATAGAAATGCGCGCTCTTGAAATATGAAAACTGAACACAGAATGATGTTCTTCATGTGCTATAGCAATTTCATTACCCAATGCAACAACACGGTAGGATTAATATACATAGATTTAGCCCTAATATATTCATAATTCAAAAAAGCGAAAAACTAAATTTAATATTAATGGCGGGGCAACAAGAAGCACTAAACAAGCAATAATAGTTAAAAGCACAGATAGAAATCTGAAATATCCATTTTCTCTTCCCCATCTGCTCGACTTCAACCCCACCCAAAGGTCAAAGCGCATTGAGATTAGCACTACTATTAGGGTAAGCAATTCGCCCCAGACCTTATACAATGCTGCATACTTCACGTTGGAAATTAATTTCTCCCGCAAAAGATGACCTGGGAGTATAATATTGATGGACGTATCGTATGCTGCTGCAACGGATGTGAGAGTCACACACACGCCCATTGATAGCATCCATATCACAGCCCTATTCTTCATAGGAAATATTCCACTCACAAGCAAGAGGGTGACACCAAGTGATGAGAAAAAAGAGATCGTAACGTAAAATGAATAGCGCACAAACTCACTATGGAGTTGAGAGGATGAAGCCAAAGCCTGTCCAGGAAAATACGTGTAATTATCAGGAGGGATGGTGATGCAGCTGAGGGGGTCATCATCAGGTGAAGTGCCATTGTGGACTTGATTTGATGAGGTGATATTGTCTTTAGATGGTGATAAGCCTTGTTGAATAAAGCTACCAGGTGGATTGATCAAACCTTGAAAGGTCATAGTTGCTATAAAGGTGGACACCGTACTCAGCTGCCCCCTCGTCTCTTCGACCCATGTATCCCCGTGCTTCAACCAATCTGTAAGACTTTTATATATGCACTTAAGGATCTTAATAAAACAGCCATCATTCTGAGGAGGGACCACACCAGTTTCAAGTCCTTCCTTTTCGGCCTTTGTCAATATTTGTTGTATTTCACCCATTTTGAAGTCTTTTGGACTTCGTTCCACGATATCCTGGGCTGTAAACCCCAATTTGTTCGTGAAGTTTTCTATTTCTCTTATTTCTGGAATTGACAGCAGATAGCACACCACCTAAATGATGAACATGATGGTAAAATGTTCAGATCAATTATATATGATTTCCGTACTGTGTTCATATATAAATAAGTTATAAGAACAACTAATTAATACTTACCTTTGACCATTAATCATAGTGCATGTGTAAAATGGAATATACATGCATAACTGCTATCACAACTGGGGAAAAGGATAGCAAAAGAATATCATACCTCAACTCGCTTCAACATAGCTAAATGAAGAAGGGTGTTGCCAGCCTTATGAGGACGCGTAAAGATAGGAGTAGGAGGCTGGCCTGCAGTAATATTGGCAGCGGCATAGTCCAATTTCACCAGAGCTTCGAGAGTCTCTAAATGGTTGCATGTGAGACACAAGTGAGACACAGTGCTTTCTTCTCTGCCATCTGCATGACTTAGGGAACCTGGCCTTGCCATGATCAGCTCTTGCACAACCTCAGTTCTTCCTCTCACAGCTGCATAGTGCAGAGGAAGTCTTCCCTCTCTGTCACAATTCAAGCATGGGTGATTGTTAACTTGAAGCAGTTCCCTCACGATGTGCATGTGACCCGCTACAGAAGCTAAGTGGAGGGCTGTTCTTCCAGAAGAATCCACTCTAACGGCAAGGTCGCGAACGTGATAGAGAAGAACCCCTACAAGTGAAACATGACCTAGCAGTGCTGATATGTGTAAGGGAGCTTGATGGCCATCTGGAATGCTGGCAAGGATTGATGCGTCTGGCTGTGTCAATTGCCCCAGCGCTTGTTCATCCCCAGGCCATGCTGCCCGGTACAATTCACTCATTCGCTCGTTGAGTTCCATCTATTGCGTTCGATGATGCTCACTAGCTATACGGTACCCTTTACATAGAAGCCATTGAAGTTGAACTGCCCTTAATTGTCGCTTTGGGGTTACTCCAAAAATTAACCGAATTAATACAATATAGTGCAAAACTCGGGTCGTTTCACTTTGAGGAGCCGAAAACGAAATTAAACCCTAGTAAATGAATGCAAGTAACCTAAACTATAAAAAGAGATTTTTGATTTTGAAAAGCTGTTAATTAAATACTACGAATCAAATTAAAATTAAAATACTTTTTTTTGGTTATTTTCTTTTATATAAAAGATGATTGAAATAACTGAAGATGAAAGAAATGAAAATGAGACACACAAATAACACTGATAAAAATCAATCCTCCAATTCAACAACGCAGGCAATCATCACTCTAAAAGATGTGGGAGTTAAAAACAATGAATTAAGAATTATAACTAAGCTTTTGATCCAACAACCGAGCCACCTCGAGTTGCCACAAAATATTTTCCTAAAATCCCAACTTACTAACTGCAACCAGAATAGTAAAATGGGATTAAGGATGCTTAAAACCAATGCTTAATTAGAACTCTTAAATCCAAAATAATAGAATTAAAACTAGCAAGAGACTATATGATCCAAAATTCTAAGCCACCTTAGAAAATCACAATATATTAATTCCAAAATCAATATAAATGTCGTAACCACAACATTATAATTGAGATCAAAACTATAAACAGCCCAATGTCAAATACTAAGCAATAATTCAGTCACAATAATCCCCAAATATAATCAGATTAAGCAATACATTTATCCCAACAATCAGAAAAATTATCCTAAGACCTAGGAATTGTTAAACAATTATTGAGTAAGAAATTAAAGTAACTAGAACTCCCCTTGAAGATCCAAGCTCCTGCCATTATTGTTGAATTGGAGAATCAGAATTAGCCACGGTTTGCCATCAAATTCGCTGCCACCAGCAATTCTCTATTGCAAGCTTCCATGGAGGAGATGACGCCGTCGAGCTTCCTTTGGTCCTCTGATTCTGTCGCAACACGGAGAGGGAAAAGATGATCGCCGTCGCTGGTCTCACTGGTTCTGTTGACGCCGAGAATAACTCACGGAGAAGACAGAGGAAGGTGATGAGGTCGCTCCAGCTCGTGTCTGCTCGTTCTGTCCGCCGCACCTCAGCTCAGTTTTCAGCGCTGCTTGCGTCCTCTCCGTCTCTGTTCGTGCTTCGGAGAAGAAGAAGGTGAAGGCGCCGTCGCTCACTGGTTCGTCGCCCAGCTCCTGCTTCTCCCCGTCACGAGCTCGTGTTCGGCGCGCCTCCTCTTCGTGTGTGCTCTGTTCCGTTCTATTCTCCCTGCCGCGCCTCCCGTCTCTCTGTTCCGTGTTCAGCTTGTGTGTGTTCCGTCTGTGCGGCGTGCTCTGTTTTTTTTTTCCAGCCGCGCCCAGCTCGCCTCCCTTTCGTTCGGCCAGCTGATGATGGTTATTAGGTTGGGGCAAAACGTTGCGTTTTGCCCCCAACTTAATATTATATTATTTTTTTTTCTTTTTATTTTTTATTTTTTTATTTTTTTATTTTTGAATCTTCCAAGAACCTGCAAGCAAAATTCAAGGATAAGGTAGCATTAATTGTCCTTAAAAATCAATTAATCATAATTAAATCAAAACATGACAATTTTGCCCCTATAAAATAATAATTCAAAATAAAACAAAATAAATCAATTAAGGCAAAAAGGGACCAATTAAGCTGACAAAACTCATATAAAAGATATCAAAACATATAAAAATAATTGAGTTTGTCAACTCCCCCACACTTAGCCTTTTGCACTCCTGGGCAAAACTTCATTAAAGAAGAATTCAATAAAGAGACTCAATGCAAGCAAACATAAAACTAACTAAGCATGAATGTGCAATTAACTCAAGCAACCTTTATTCTTCATTAATCAACAATCATAGAATACTTCAATGCAAAGAAATTAACACAAAAAACATAGCAGGATAAAAGAAGAGAAACATAATAGAGCTCACATAGGGTACAAGTGTTTCACTCATCTCTCAAATGGGAAAAATTTCACTCAATCCACCTAGATTAGCACTTACCATAAGCTTGTAGAAATTCTAATATCTCCACCACTAACATACCCTAGACTCATGATCAAGGGGACTTGAAGGGTTGTAATGTCGAAAAACAAGGCCAAATGAATGAAATGAACTAGCAACTGAAATGCATGAGTAATAAAGTATCAACTCAAAGTGAGCTTAAGTACAATCATAAAAGAACACCAAAGTGCAGATTTGAAACTTTTGAGACAGAAATCCTTGCTCTTCAAACCACCATGGAATGCCTTATTTCAAATTTATTCTTTTGTTGCAACTTATTTTCTCTCTGTTTTTTTTTAACTTTCTTTCTTTGGCTTTTCTAAACATTTTCTTCTCTTTCTTGCCTTTTTTTCTTTTTCTTTTTTTTTTTCTTTTTTTTGCATCCAAACTCAAGAAGGCAAAGATATTGACTTTAATGATGTACTTTTCAAAATGAAAAATCAGATAACTCATGCAAAACACTTGCTTAAAAGTACTGAATGGAATGAAAGTGAAGGCTCAAAGAGGTGAACAAAGGTTAAATGAAGTGGTTTGTGTTTGGGTAAAGGGTTTAGAAATGAATGCCCCTATCATCTTCACAAACCTAGGTATTAATGCAGCTTTGAAAAAGAATCTAGACAAGTTCTAGAGGTTAACCAAAACTAGGTGAAAATCACACAAGATGAGAAAATATATGGCTCAACAATCCTTCCATCAAGGCTTTCTCCAAGATGTTTCCTCCTTAAGTATCAAGCTATGAAACAAGGTTAATAACACTGCACCAAAGGCATTCTACTATGCTAATCAACTAAGAACAGAAATCACTTAAATCAAATGCAATCAAACTCAGCCGTGCAACATTCACAAGCATTGTGCAAAAAGATTTTAAAAGAGATGCCCAAGGATTACAAAAGTCAAGTCAGCAACAGAGAGAAACAGCAACTCGCCCATACAGCAGTGCAGAGCACTGAGGCGAATGAAAATAGGAGGACACAGAAACTAGCAGCAAAATTCCCAAGCAAGAATCACTCTCAAATCATGCGATGCAATTCAGAAATCAACCAATAGGCAGAGAAGAGAGCAATTATAACAATAATACTTAGGAAACATGAGCAAATCCAAAGGCTTTTTTTTTTTTTAAACAGCTCAACTCAACAACAATCTCTCCCCCACACTTAAATTTTGCATTGTCCTCAATGCAAAATCCAAGGACAAGGTAATGACAAGAGAAAAAGAGAATCAATAAGGGAGTAAACAAAAACAAGGTTACTTTTCTACTAGAATAGCTCCCCCACACTTATCCTCTTCAATAATTCAGTTAAGCACAATTAATCGATGCAAAGTTAAAAGAAAATAAGTGAGGAAAGAGACAACCTTGTGCTTAAAGCGCCTTAGACTCTTAAAAGAGAAATTCTCATCAATAATGAGAAACATGAAACTTAGCAAAAAAGATTGCTCTTGATGATTGTACTTTCTTGGTGGTGGCTCAGGGTCAATTGAAAGAGGTCCAAGAGCATATGGTGGAGTTTGGTGTCGAGGAGATCCCTTCCAATTATGTGCCTGCACAGAAAACAACCTAGCAGCAGTACCAAATCTAACAATATCGACTTCGAGAGATTTCAAATAAAATAAAGACATTTTATGATTTAGACTCTTCAAATAGCTACAGCATCCAAGAAAGTCAATGATACTCCCATCAGTAGGAGTCAAACAATCATTTAAAGTTTCAAAACACTTAGGTTCATGTGACGTGGAAACTGAAGAATCCAATTGACAGTTATTAAAGTATAGCACATCACTATCACATTCACAATAGGTGGGAGATGTAAAAGGGTGGAAGCAGAAGAAGATTCATGCAGAGTACTACTATTGACACAGCTAACTAAATTAGGAGACAAATCACAAGACAAAACTTGTTGAAAAGACTCATCTACATGCATAATTTTGTCATTCAAAATTTCAGAGTCTTTCTCAACAACACTAAAAACCACGAACTCAAAGGAATTATCATGCATTTGGTTCTCAAGGCAATGATCATTCTCACATTTGTCATCAATAATTGTACTCAAACAAGATTTAGCAACCTTAATGTTCTCATACTTATCAATAACAGCACTTTCAACACTAGGAAGAGAAACATGGTTGGCATGTGAATCATCACACAAAATAGCATTGTCATCCAAATCACTACCACTAAGAGCAACAAGATGAGTATTAGCATGTTCAAAAACATGAGGGGATTCACAGACAATTTCTTCATCCGCCTCAATATCACTCATATTATCAAAAGCTTCAACAGGGATAGTAGTTATAGCACAAGGGTCAATCTCCTTAAGAAGAGGAGCAATATTACCTGATGTAAGGCACGAGTCCTTGTGAGTTTGTGGATGTTCTTGCTTCATCTCAGTCTCTTGCATGAGTGAATTTGGATACTTTGATTCATCCTTCCCCATCCCAGATTCAATTTGCGCTATATCACTCAAGAACTTTCCCAATGCACTTTGACATTCTTCTAACTCTTCCTCTGATTCCTTAGAAATTCCAGATATTTCTACCTCTTCAAGTAATCCATGGTAGTATGAATTTAAGCGGTCGTAAGCTTCTCTTAAAAATTGTATCTGTTCCTTCTTAGGAATAGTAAGAAACGGGTCAGGTTCATTGAATTGATATTCATGAGATTGGGGGAGAGAATGGTACTTGGATTGGGACGAGGGTTGGTGGTAGTATTCATATGGAAAAGGAGGTGGTTCTTGGTGGTGTGCATATGGTAGAGATATATGATTAAAGTATGGTTGGTGAGGTTGGAGTGATGGGTTAGGTGATTGATGTGGAGGATGGTTCATCCAAGAGGTGTCATGAGCATAGATGTGATTAGGTGTTTGAGACTCTAGCTGAGCTTGGAAGGAGTCCAACTGTTGTAACAACTCTTCAATCTCTTGAGAATATGTTGAATTAGAAGGTGCTTCATTCCACGTACTATTTCCTGCAAAAAATTGAGAATGTGAGAGTAGATCATGATTGCTATTAAACCAAGCCATGAAAAACCAAAAAAAACAAAAAAAAAAAAAAAACAGATGCAAACTACTAAAAAAAAAAAAAAACTAACAAAAATGAAAACTAAAAAGGCTCAACAAATGAACCCCAATCAAGGCTACTTGACACTTAATTACTAGGGAACCAATTTCTTGGCTCCCCGGCAACGGCGCCACTTGAAGTTGAACTGCCCTTAATTGTCGCTTTGGGGTTACTCCAAAAATTAACCGAATTAATGCAATATAGTGCAAAACTCGGGTCGTTTCACTTTGAGGAGCCGAAAACGAAATTAAACCCTAGTAAATGAATGCAAGTAACCTAAACTATAAAAGAGATTTTTGATTTTGAAAAGCTGTTAATTAAATACTACGAATCAAATTAAAATTAAAATACTTATTTTTTGGTTATTTTCTTTTATATAAAAGATGATTGAAATAACTGAAGATGAAAGAAATGAAAATGAGACACACAAATAACACTGATAAAAATCAATCCTCCAATTCAACAACGCAGGCAATCATCACTCTAAAAGATGTGGGAGTTAAAAACAATGAATTAAGAATTATAACTAAGCTTTTGATCCAACAACCGAGCCACCTCGAGTTGCCACAAAATATTTTCCTAAAATCCCAACTTACTAACTGCAACCAGAATAGTAAAATGGGATTAAGGATGCTTAAAACCAATGCTTAATTAGAACTCTTAAATCCAAAATAATAGAATTAAAACTAGCAAGAGACTATATGATCCAAAATTCTAAGCCACCTTAGAAAATCACAATATATTAATTCCAAAATCAATATAAATGTCGTAACCACAACATTATAATTGAGATCAAAACTATAAACAGCCCAATGTCAAATACTAAGCAATAATTCAGTCACAATAATCCCCAAATATAATCAGATTAAGCAATACATTTATCCCAACAATCAGAAAAACTATCCTAAGACCTAGGAATTGTTAAACAATTATTGAGTAAGAAATTAAAGTAACTAGAACTCCCCTTGAAGATCCAAGCTCCTGCCATTATTGTTGAATTGGAGAATCAGAATTAGCCACGGTTTGCCATCAAATTCGCTGCCACCAGCAATTCTCTATTGCAAGCTTCCATGGAGGAGATGACGCCGTCGAGCTTCCTTTGGTCCTCTGATTCTGTCGCAACACGGAGAGGGAAAAGATGATCGCCGTCGCTGGTCTCACTGGTTCTGTTGACGCCGAGAATAACTCACGGAGAAGACAGAGGAAGGTGATGAGGTCGCTCCAGCTCGTGTCTGCTCGTTCTGTCCGCCGCACCTCAGCTCAGTTTTCAGCGCTGCTTGCGTCCTCTCCGTCTCTGTTCGTGCTTCGGAGAAGAAGAAGGTGAAGGCGCCGTCGCTCACTGGTTCGTCGCCCAGCTCCTGCTTCTCCCCGTCACGAGCTCGTGTTCGGCGCGCCTCCTCTTCGTGTGTGCTCTGTTCCGTTCTATTCTCCCTGCCGCGCCTCCCGTCTCTCTGTTCCGTGTTCAGCTTGTGTGTGTTCCGTCTGTGCGGCGTGCTCTGTTTTTTTTTCCAGCCGCGCCCAGCTCGCCTCCCTTTCGTTCGGCCAGCTGATGATGGTTATTAGGTTGGGGCAAAACGTTGCGTTTTGCCCCCAACTTAATATTATATTATTTTTTTTCTTTTTATTTTTTATTTTTTATTTTTTTATTTTTTTATTTTTGAATCTTCCAAGAACCTGCAAGCAAAATTCAAGGATAAGGTAGCATTAATTGTCCTTAAAAATCAATTAATCATAATTAAATCAAAACATGACAATTTTGCCCCTATAAAATAATAATTCAAAATAAAACAAAATAAATCAATTAAGGCAAAAAGGGACCAATTAAGCTGACAAAACTCATATAAAAGATATCAAAACATATAAAAATAATTGAGTTTGTCAGCCATGCACTGCTTTTTCTAATATTACCCAAAAAAAAATTAAAAAAAACATGTGATCTCTTAATATGTGCAATTAATACGATTAATTTGAAACGAACTTAAATATTGAGATTCTATGTTTAGGAGTAAATACAACCACTCAACTAATCCCTACAAGGGAGTATAATGATGAAGAAGAATCTGTGAATGGAAGATGACCCAGCAGTGCTGATGCGTGTAAGGGAGTTTGACGGCCATCTGGAAGGTCGTCGGCGAGGATTGTTGCGTATTTCTGTGCAATTGCCCCGGGGTTTGTCCCCCCCCCCCCCGGGGGGGCGGGGATACGGCTAGAACTTCCATTGGGTCCCCTACGTTGAAGAGTTCCATCTCTCGTGTTGGATTATACCTCACTGTATGGTATCCTTTATGTATGTGTGTGTGTGTGTGTGTATATATATATGGAATTTCTTGATTAGCAAATGCATATACTTATATTTTGGATGAATGTGTTTAGTGCTTCTTTTTTGGGCCCACATGTGTTGCGGCTCAACCAAAAGGAAACTTAGTTTCACAGTCTATTGCACCTAATTCTAGTTGAACGTTCAATATATAGTGCTACTTAATTCATTGATACTTTGTTTTCCAACCTTTCATAATTCTTATCAACTAAGGAGAGAAGTGATCGTAGAGATAAATATAAATAACTAAAAAGATGGGATGAGTTAGTCAATATATGGTCACGAGAAATAAGTGAGACGATCTCTGTTTATATTTTTATTTTTCAGAAATTATGGCATGGAAGAAGTCAAGAAGATATCATTACTTTTAAAACATGATTGACTCCATCATCAACATATGGGCCCAAGAATAATGTTGGCTCTGTCCTGGGTCACTGGACTTTTCACACAACCACGTTCTGTTTTTTTGTTTTTTCTAAAATCTTTGTATGAACACTTGAAAGTCGTTAGGACAGAGATGAGGTGGGATCAATGCATTCTCCAACTATAACGAAGAAACCATTCCAAATTAATTTTGTGATGTGAAACTGGAAGGGGAAAGGGGAAGATATTCAGAGAAGGAGAAAGGCAGGACAAGAGAGAAAATGAGAGGAGGAAGAAAGAGAAGAGAAAGAAAGAGAAAGAGAGGGGAGGAAAAATAGGAATTCTTATCTACTTCCTCTGTTTTCTATTACAGGGTGTCTTCTATATACAATTTAATTATGGTTTTGGCAGAAGAGCTGTTTTACTGTGGATATTTGTTTACCCCTTGTCTAATCCTGTGAGACTTGTGCATGAAGCAGGTTATGAGATTGTAAATATTATATTGAAAAATTTGGATGCCGGCATGCTACATTCATACTTCACACACCAGAACTAAGCCCACCGAATCCCATCATATTTGGTTTCAATGGCTGATTTTCTGTCTTTCTCGTCATATCGCTTAAGGTTGAACTGAATGAATAGCATAATCTGATTTTTTCCCCACCTGAACTATAAGCCTGAATTTTAAAGCTTGAAGGTTGAAAGTGTTCATGTTTGGACTTGGGCCTGAGGGTGTTTGGCTAACTAAAAATATTACTTTTACTTAAATCGGAACAAAATTCTTTTTATATGCATACTTTGTACACGGTAAAATCATTTTTAAAATCATTATTTGGTTTCCACCTAGATGCCTCCTTAATTCTAAGAAATTCATTTCAAGCCCAATCATTGATATCACTGCGTGTGTATGTAATTATAAATATAGAAATTAAAATAATGTACAAATAGTGTTAATTAGGTTTTTTGTGTCATTGGGGATTCTGTTCATAATCTTTTTTTTTATTTTTATGACAAGTTATTAATTAATCCTAAGTGAGTTAGAATATTTTTTTTGCCAGTCATAAGTATTGTCTTCAACTCTTCATATTCAGTAACAGAATGTGCTAAGTGAGATTTTTATTTTACCTACTTTATGATGATAAGGGAGAATATTTAACATCTAGATATTTGTTGATATATGAAACAGCTTGATTGTTTGAATATGGGATATAAGAAAATAAATTTAACATCTCTTTGATATTATTTGCGATACATTTACCATTTAAATTTTGAAGTGGCATGAAGATAACAAACGAGAGGTGGGGTGTTTGTTTCATAGCACCTTCGATCTTTTATATAGGTCATGTTAACTGCTTTCCTACTACCATGGAAATTAATTTTAGTTAGTTAAATGGTAAAGATTGTTGTAATAACTTTTCTAAATTACTCTTGATCATAATATAATGACCAATGAGTAAAAGGCGGAGGGAGTATGTATATCAATTTTGTAGCAGTACTTTTCATCCCAAAGCTCCCAATACTTCATGAGGAGTCAGCAAGTATATTCCAAGAATATTCCCTCATTAATGAATGTGTAACGGAGGAGCTTGGAGTTATTCTAACTTAGCGGGCAAGAGTGTTAGTTTCTATTAAACAATCAGCTCGTTAAGAGATAAATAGAGTAAGCAGTGGACATTAATTAAGGATCTTCTTCACTTGAAATTTTATTACATATATATGGGAAAACAGTAGGGGCAAAAGTGTCAGCTCCACGTGGCATGGAATCTTGCCTCCTAATCTCCTTCGCATGCTCTGTACTGACTCCTCTTTACAATCCAGTACAGTCAAGAAACAGAGCAGGAGGAATTACAAAAGCAAGAAGCAGGGGAATGAAGAAATCGACTTCACGGGTTAGCCTGTGGGTGCGAAGGAAATTAGAGGGATCCCCGAATTTTTCTTCCAATTCTCCGAAGCGATAATTATAAAAGCAACTCCTGCATGATCTATTGCTTTTCTCTTGCCGACAACAAAGACGGGCATTAATTGGCAGATACAGATCGATCAGCAGCAACTTGTTAACTTCAGCTTCTTAATAATCTTCTCATTCGATGCTTAATTATGAATTGAAAAGCCCAGATCCAAGAAAACGGAAGCGTTAGAATGAAATAAATCATAAAAGGCAATTTAGATGCGCAGCGAGTGACGGTCCCCAGTTCGGATGCCAAAAGATGTTCTGGGATCATAAAGTCGAGGGCGTCGAGGTATGCATTTGCAAGAAAGAAGAGAGTGGACAACATGCCCAAGGATAGACTCCATACGACCGCACTGTTCTGCAAAGGAACTCCACTTGCAAGCAAGAGGGTAACACAAATTGATCCATAGAAAGAGAGAGTAATATCTTCCACATAGTACCGAAATCCTTGTTGGTGACGAAAGGATGAGACTGGTTGTCCGGGACAATACTGATGAAGATCATTAAGGGTGGTGCAGTTGAGGGCGTCGGATGATGAGTTTGTGGTATTGCCTTGGGATAATAAACCTTGTTGAATGAAGCCTCCAGGTGGATTAATTAAAGCTTGAAAGCTTACAGTTGCTATGAAAATAGATGCCGCACTAAGACTTCCCCTCATCTCTTTTACAAAATTAGTAGTACCCCCATACTTCGTCCAGCATAGCATCCATTCTAAAATCTTCATAAAACAATTTCCTTCCCTGTCCTTTTCCAACATGGGTTTTATTTCATCGATTTTCCAGTCTTTTGGACACACATATGTGAGTATAGCGTGGGCTGTAAGGCCCTCACTGTTCTGCTGGTTTTTTATTTCTCTTATTTCTGGAATTGACAGCACATACCTGACAACCTAAATACAAACACGTTGGCAAGGTATTCGGCTCATTAATTTGCATGCTATTTATGAATGCGTTGTGTTCATAAATAACTAAGTTCTAAACTCCTAAAAAAGCAAGAAAATTAAAACAGATCTATATGTTTCTTCATAACAACATAAAGTGAATCAACAATCACACAACGTGTGTTTGGAAATAAAGTGCTTATACACTAATATTTTATTCTTGTCATGTAAGCCTTTGGCTTCTAAAAAGAAACAGGAAATTGTGACCACGAATCAGAAAAAGAAAAGGATAGAAAAATAAAGAATATATCATGTACCTCATCTCGCATGCACGTGACGGCTAAATGGAGAATGGTGTTTCCTGTACGATCAGGGCGCCTAAATATGGGACGACGAGGCACGCCTACAGTAACATTGGCAGTGGCATAGTCCAATTTCACCAATGCTTTCAGAGTCTTGAAATGGTTGTATGTGACACACAAGTGAAAAACAGTGTTCTCTTCTGGGTCAAGACAACCTAGAGAACCTGGCCGCGCTATGACCAACGCTTCCACAACCTCTGTCCTCCCCCTCATAACTGCATAGTGCAGAGGAAGTCTTCCTTTTCCATCAGCAACCAAGCATGGCTCATCATTAAATTCTAGCAGTGTCTGCACGGCCTCCAGGCTATCCTCTGCAGAAGCCAAGTGGAGGGCTGTTCTTCCAGAGGCATCCTTTCTGGTGGCGAGGTCACCATTACGATTTAGAAGAACCTGTGTGAATGAAGCATGATTTAGCAGTGCAGATATGTGTAAGGGAGTTTCACAGCCGTCATCTGGAACGTTGTCAAGGATGGATGCGTTTTGCTGCAACAAATGCTCCAAAGCTTGCACATCCCCACGACGTGCTGCCCGATAGAGGGCACTCATATCTCTCACCACTTCGTCACTCATTTGGCTATTCGTTTGGTTGTTGGTTACAATGTTCTGTACCATCTATCGCGTTTAGATAATGCATACCAGCTATAGCGTAGGTACCCTTTATATAGAGATGGCTAGCTTATTATAATCTTGCTCACTTCCTCTTTTCCATATCATACACCGACATTTTCTGACGTTTAAAAAAAAAAAGAAGCAAATTATAAGAAAAGTATAACATAAAATTGAACTAAACATATTTGGAAAAGGAGCGATATTGTGGAGTCAAATCATACTAGGATATATCAGCAAGCTTTTCAAGCATGCGTGGTTGTGTCTGGCAAGAATTGTATTCCACTGCATTTCTTCATGTTAAATTGTCAGTGGGAAAAGAAGTAGGCAGAAGGAGAAACCACAAATGAAGGTGATGGGATGATTAGAATAAAATGAGAAAAAAGAAGTAGAAAGAGATCCACATCCCTCCAATTACGCCCTTATTGTAGTGATGTCACCGTCACCAGCTAGCCAGCTAGTACGCTGTTGTTTATTTAGACTTTTCACAAAAGACTATGATCAACACTCAGTTTGAAACAACTCGGAAGATGCTCTGAACTTGCATTGAACATTATTAATTAGTTTATAGTCATACGAGAACCATATTCCTTTAGCACAAGAAACAGAGAAGACCACAAGATGTGACCCCAGGGCGGGGACGTCGCCTTCCAACATGTTGGTCCATAGGAATATTCTTTATAAAGGTATGGAAGAATAATTTTTGAGATCATTAACCTAAAAAAATGATCCAGTCGTTCTAAAGGAATAAATAATACTCCCTCCGTTCCTTATTATAAGAGACATTTGATGCTTATGGCATGTTCCTATATATAAGAGACACTTAAAAGTTGTCTCTACTTTTTTGTATTGATTTCCTATTTTACCCATATTTATTGTTTCCAACTCGCACTCTCTCTCCTTCCCACTTCTCTTTTTTTTAATAATTTAATTGTTCTCTCTCTTTATTAATGAGGGCATTTTTGGAAAAAAAATTATATTTTTTACACATTAATTGTTCTTAACTAATTTTAACTGCTTTTTTGATCGACGTAATTCGGTTATTCGTCTCTTATAATAAGGAACAGAGGGAGTAGTAGTTAGCTCTATATTTGGCCAAAAAAAAAAACAGTTAGTTGTATGTAAGAAAATGTAAACTGGTTTTCTTAAGATAGCTTGTTTGATCATTTGTATTAAAAACTACTCTTTTGATCCTATTTATATCACTTATAATATGCTTTACCAAAACTAAGAAAAATTTTAAACTTTGTTAATTGTCCCAAAATTTAATGATTTTTCAATCTCATCCCCATTTAAGGTATATGCTTTCTAAAAAATAACAGCTACTGTGCATAATAAATAAAAGAAAATATTATAGGAATACTCCATTATTGATGGAAATATTAATTTACTATGTATAATTAATAGAGATAACTTGGCAGAAAATTATAAATTTGGAATACAAAGATCACTGAGATTTCACATTTAACGTTAAAGCAAATTTTTCAATTATTTCTCTCTTATCATGTGAAGAATATAGAGTATAAAGTATATCTAACGTTTCAAACGGGTCAATGGACAAGGCTTGTGGCCTGTGACTTGAAAAGATTAGGAGCCTTCTTTTATGTCGAATGACGGGACTTTGAGAAGATATCATATTAAGCGCTCCATTAATTACACAAAATAGAATGATGTTGACATAAATATCCCTTGAATGATATTAATATTTATTCTTTAATTTTCAGGTTTCAGTTAACTTAAATGAAACTCTAAAGCGAATTATTAAGAAGCCCTTCTAGTTGTTGTCGTTGTTATTACTCTTCGAGTTAGATACAAGCAGACTTACAGTCTTTCGCCAATTCGTTTCCTTGCCACAACTATATTTATAATTAAAAAACAAGGTCACAGGAATACAATAGAGATCTACACAGGCCAATACAGAACTACACATATTGCGTAAATTTTCGTTTGGAGTTCGTCCTTATGAGGATTAACTATCTCGACTTTTCACTTGGTAATCCATTCTTTGAGAATTATTAATTAATTCCAATTTTTTCTAGGAGTAAGTCTTTCAAATTTCTACAACCAAATCCTTGCTGGGATCCGTTTTCCGTGTGTGGAATATGCCTGTGTCTTTATTTGTTTCAGATTTTAAAAAATAACCTACTATGCAACTCATTAGAGAGTTTTTAGTTTATTTTATTTGAATTCAGACCTTGTTATTTAATTTAACATTATACTAGAATTTTGAATCATTAGACTTAAGATTCTTTTCCTTAAAACCAAGGAATCCCACTTCAACAAAATTTATTTTAACCATATATAATTATCTAATGCATTATTCTGTGATTGTAAAACAATACTGCTAACACAATGGACACACTTTATTAAAGACAGCGTAGGTCCCGAATTCGGGACTATTTAATATACTCCGCTGATAAATTTAAATCTAACATAAGTTGCAGCAGATTACTCAATCATTAGGGTCAATATGTTTCAAGTAGTGCCCCGGTCCCCCCGGGGGGGGGGGAAGGGTAGTGTCATTTTCAAAATGATTATACTGTACTGTGGTGATGATGTAGGCCTAGGTAGCCAGGATCCTGTTGTTTATTTCGGAATTTGCCCGCAACCTGCATTACATTTATTAGTTTATAGTTAGACAACATCCCTATTCCTTCCGCACAAGAAAATTCTTTACGATACATCATGACACCAAAAAAAACAAAAGAAAAGAAACTTAAGTGTTAAGTTCTTAAAAAAAAGGGGGGGGGGCTATGACAGCACAAACCTGACTTTATCCTTTCCTCTCCACAAAGTGTTTGGAAAAGCATATGCAAAATATAAACAACATATAGATTGACCATCATTTTGGAACAAGGTAGGTTTAATTACTCTATTGTTTGTTTTCCATAGTCTGAATTGGAAAACAAAAATTAATTGCAAAAATGTAAAAGTAAATAAAAATAAATTTGATTCGAGTCGTGAAAACACTGTACTTAAGAATTATTAGGATTAAGAAAATCTTGCTTGTGATGAGAAACAAGGACCAGAACAGCAAAGATATAAAAATGTAAATAAATAGGAGATTAAATGCAGGGAAAAAGAAGAGTTCAAAAACTTAAAAACTTGGTACATTTTTTTGTTAGCACCGGATACTATCTATTTATAAGTAGCAGTCACTTGAAATTTTTGGTATTAACTGGATGAGGGATTTTTTTTCTTTCATGTGGGACCTTTTCCTTTTCAAACACCCACATCAAAACACAACAGAAAGTAGGTGGAAACAAATGAAGGATTAGTGTCATATGCACCTCCCTACAAGCTACTACCTAAGATTCTTAATATGAGAGCTTGTTTAGTTTTTATTTTGATTCCAAATAGAAGATTTCAATCCATTTTATCTCTTATATTTATTTATTTTTTAAGATAGTTCTTGTAATAGTAGTAGTTCTAACTAATATATTTATTAGTAAGGATATTTTAGAAAAGACAATATCTATTTGTTACAAAAAATTAGTTTAACTAATTTTCTTAATCTACTCAAATTAGTCAACTAGTTTTTATATTAAGGACAGGAGGTAGTATGCAAAATATGCCCAACATTTTGAATGTGTCAACAAGGTTTGTTATTTATAAAAAAGAAAAATTAATAGTAGAGACCTATATTTGCATAGATTTTCGTTTGGAGTTAATCTCAATGAGTATTATCTCGACTTTTCACTTAATAATTCATTTTCCGGGAATTATTAATTTAATTCCAACCTCTTTTGCCACCAAATCTTTCAACTTTCTTCGACCAAAATCGTTGCTGGGACCCATCTTTCGAGTGGGACTGCAGGTTGTTTCTTAGCAGCCCAAACTAGCACAAAATTATCATCGTCAATCGTACCTGTGTCATTACTTTTTTTAGATTTAAAAAATTAAAGAAATAAATTATGATTACTTTGTTGCCTGATTAAAAGGTAGGAGAACACGGGCTTCAAGTCCTTGGTTATTACTCATCCGGTTTTAAATATAAAACTCTTATATTAGTGTGTATAAAGATTCTATATTTAGTATCAGAGGAGTATTTTGGGAGTTCCCCGGAACTTGCATTACAGATATTAGTTTATAGTTCTACGATGTCCCTGTTCCATTCGCACTAGAAAATTCTTTAGGATTCATCGTGACATAAGGGCCACAGTCTCAACTTTTTAAAAAGAAACTTACGTGTTAAATTTTGAAAGGAAAAAAAGAAAACTGGGAACATGACAGTACTAGCCTGACTTTATCCTTCCCTCTCTGCAAAACGCATGGTAAAGCGTATACAAAATGCAAACAATATATATATATATATATATATATATATATTGATCATCAACGGTGAGTAAGATAGATTTAATTACCTTAGTGAAGAATTAACTGCAAAAATATACGAGTAAATAAAAATAAATTTGATTCGAGCCGTGAAAAAACTGTTCTTAAGAATTATTAGGATTAAAGAAACCTTGCTTCTAGCAGGGAACAGAATGGCAAAAAATATTTAAAAAATGTAAATAAATAGAAGATTGAATGTACGGGGAAAGAAGAGCTTGAAAACTCAAGAACTTGGTGCATTTTTCGTTAGTATTAGGCACTGCCTGTTTATAAGTAACAGTCACTTGAATTTCTTGAGAATTAACGGATGTGGGACTTTATTACTAGCTCACACCCATACACATACAGGATGCTTGGATACCTCCAAAGTACTTTCACGCAAGTTAAAACAAAATTTCTCTCGCATACTTATTTTATATACTGTAAATTACTTTTAGGATCATGATCTGATTTTTACCAAAACAACCCTACATGTTAGATGAGGCAATCCCCCCCCCCCCATGTAAAACCTTTTCCTTTTGAAACATCCACATGAAAACACAACAGAAACTAGGAGGAAACTAATGAACGATTAGTCTCATATGGAACCTCCTACAAGCTGTGTAAAGTATACCCAACATTTTGAATGTGTTGACAA